CTCTCTAGCATTACGGTACTCCTGTCTACGGAGCCATACCGCGTAACATATCGTATACGTGGTAAATGCGAGTGTTGCCATCTGGAAGAATCGGACGATGTGCATCGAACCACGAAAGAAAGTTCGAAGTGACATGTTCTCGATGGCTTTTGAGGAGTTTCTGCAAGTTGACACCGGGCAAGCTCTCGGGAGCATCATGATTATCAATTGACCAGAAGTCAGCAGCAGGCTTCCTCTATATAGAACGGGCGAGATCCGGAGCATGGACTCGATGGGTACGTGTGGGTATCGTCTTGTGTTTGGTAACATCCGTAAAACGTCAGCCAAAGTCGTCATCAACAGTGGCCCCAACTTATGTGCGTTAATAAGATAAACTACATGCCGCGATCTGAGCCCGCATCAGCAAGGCGGAGCGGTACCCCAAGACGCTGGGCCTCTGCTTAGCAAACTGACTCGACCTTGGCGCGCCCGCGCTCTCAGCGAATGGGATAAGTGCCTTCTGCCGGCCGGGAGTGTTACAGATTGAACCGTCGGTGGTAATCCCGACTTGCGCGCAACGTCTCGGTACGCTTGGCACTATGGGCACCGTGGCACGATTGAGACTACCGCTGCTGGCGTACCACGTTCATCCTATTCAGACGTAAAGTGAACCTTCCATTTCGCGGCTGCGGATGTTGGCCAAGACATGGTCTCCTATAGAGCTTTGATCGATATACGAGGCCAAGATCGCATTCTCTCCCCGGGCAGATTTTCTACGCCATGTTCAGGTGCTGGTTTTCGCTTTCTTTCGAGATTTCTGGAGTCATCTTTGAAACCTTGATACCCCGAGATAGACCTATATCACGATTCGAAGATGTCCAAATTCCAGCCGGACTTCATTCAGCTGTTACCAATTCATGAGAGCAGAATTCTTCACGCTGGTTGCTTATATCAAATACCTTACGGTATGGGTGTCAGCGCGAAGTTTGGAAACGGGGAGAAGGCGTGGAGACGAGCGCTGAGAGTAAGTGAGAGGTTATGGCAGCATACTTCTCCAGTCTATGCTTATTTTCCGATGGCATAACAAAATTAGTAGCTCGTCCCCTGTTTGGCCAATAGTGACTTCTACTATATGCTGATAAGCACATCCTCACCAGCCGTTCCAAGAATCTTCAGAAACCGTCGCCGCCAAATAATACTGTCGTACAAAAACGAATCCGTAATTGCCGGCCAGCAATTACGCCTTATTTACCACAAATACTTATTCGCAACTTCTCAAGCTCGCGCTCTTTGATGAGAGACATGTACGCCTGGGCCTACATGATTAGACAATTGGTTTCACCGATGATGGTACTCTCGGCGAACCCTATTAGAGAGCAGCCGACTGTCATGGGGGCTGGCGCTGCAAGTAAGGCGGTTACATGCAAGTTGGTGGGAACTTAAGAAATTGTGAACTCACTTGCCGCCTACCAAATCGTAGGGAACCCGCATTGAAAGCATGTCCGCATCTTGTTGGGCGTTGTCGCACGGCACATGCATGAAGATGCACAATGATCTACGCGATGCCCCTCAAAAGGCGAGGAGAAGGGATGAATACGGTGGGAATTAGCAACACTGCTTAGGCTTTCTGGTCGCTAAACGCCTGCTATCAACAGGCCGCAGCGGCGGTCGCTTTGTGTATTTGACAACGCTTAAAACTGAATTCATCCAGGAACCCTTCCCAGGAAAAGCTCCCGACCTACCTACGTTCAACCTCGCTCAGCGCTGTGTCGTTGCGCTCTGTGATCCAAACTTCCATCATGGCTGTCGACGGCTCGAACTGTCCCGAGGACAGTAACTCGACTGACTGCCTTCTTCGATCTTTGATGCGTCTTCTCAGCGAGCAAAAGAAAGCTGAGGACAATGAAACCAACTGGGACCCTATTACCTTCTTTTTCACGCTTCCAGTCGGAATCCTCGCGACTATTTTTGCCGTTACCACAGTTTTCCAGGGCATTTTGGTAGCTGGCAAAGGACGGAGGAAGACCAACAAACGCGCCATTGGAAAAATGGCATCAAGCGACCGAGTGGCACTGGAATTGGCAAGACATGTCCTTCGAATCCAAGGCATGGGTCTCCATTCTAAGGGAAGACAGTTGGAGTAAACGGACTGATTTGAAGGACACCGATAAGAAGGAGACGGCACGAAGGCATCGTCACTTGGTGTGGCTTACCGCCACTACCATTCGAATTTCAAGACACCTTAGTATAGCTCTGAAAAGGGTCTTTTCCTGGCTCCCTACTCTCTGGGTTCAAAAGCTTTCTACCTGGAAGCAATGGGTTAACAAATCGCGGCCAAAGTACCAGGCTGACCCTGTTGCCACATGGGTTAGGTTCTTTGAGAAGGTTGGCCTCGAATATCTTGGTGACTCAAGATGCAAACGCCACCTACAGCCAGTCACCGGGGACTATCTACCGGATGACCTAATTGCTGCTCCTGCGTATGGACAAGTTGGAGCAATCATTGCAGCCGCTGCAGCAACAGGTGCTCAAATCAAGATGACCGACGACAAATCACTTTACCCAGTAATTTTTGGACGACAATATCAATTCGACTTCCGACAGCACCCTACCCTCGGTATCATCGGTGCATACTCGCAGTATATCCAGGGAGACGATGAAGAGGCCGATCACACTGATAGAAAGGACGGCCCTAGACGCATCAAATCGGAAGGTTCCCCGCTGCAAGAAAAACTGAGCATGGCCATGAAACACTGTCGCGGCGAGATCGGGGCTGAAGAGGGCATGATACTCTCTTTCTGGAAGATGCCACAAACTCCTCTAAACCTGTACAAAGAATCACACCGCTTTCAACTGATTCAACGACTGGGAAACAGCAAACTTTATGGGGATCAATCTCTTCCACATCTCAATGGTCTTCGTGACGTGGACGCTTACTGCCCGATCATTATCTTCTTTCTCGCGGCTACACCGATGGATGCTCCCTCACTCTTCCCGGCTTCAATTCTAAAATCACAGTTGCCTCTCATACCAGTGGGACTCAATGGAAGATACTGGTCAGCACTGTGTCTGGGAGCCTTTAGCAATTCTACAACCCCTGAGTGGCCGATTGGTCACAAACAACCACAATGGTCTGGGTTTTGTAAAATCTGGTATACTAGCCCACCGCTGAGGAAGGATAGCTTCGCCAAGTGTGAAAATGATCAACAATGTCTTTCATTACAGCTCAGCTACATCATAAGGGCCAATGATCGAAGACGGACTATAACATTCGGTGATCGCGCAAAAGACTGGACTCATGCGAGAAAGATCGATACCGCGAGAAAACAATCTCATGCTTCGAAAAAGCAAGACGAAAAGATCGATGGCGAGGAAGCTGCCAAGAATGCTTTCGACGACACGCCCCTGATCAGAACGAAAGGACTGAAAACAAATTTGGAAGCTGTTCAGAGTAACGATATGGTGCTTCATGTTTGTATCAATTTCCTTCGTGATCCTTCCGGTTTTCTGAAATGGTTTGCTACCTCTTCAGCTGGCAATCAAGCAGAAATACGACGCAGAGTTCATCTGCAGCTGGTGGAAGTTCAGGGCTGGCTCGATAATAAGGGGCGCGAACATATCAGATCTCGCCAACTTCTGCTCTGCAAAACCACTGTCATCCTTCTGAAGGCGCACAAGGTGGCAAGTGGAGATCACGCCCCGCATACTTCCAGAGCTCCAGATCCTCCAAGTCACCTGGAGCACCCTTCACTACCGGACACAGATCAATACTCTCTTAACTCCCGGCATTCCAATGCGTTGCATTCTCTTCGCACTCTGCTCGAGGGCTTCGGTCTCGATAAAAGCTCTGTTGGTATCCCTATCACAGGGAAGTTGGTTCGAACCGTAGGGTCCTGGTGGTGACGAAGTATCAATATCTCTGTATTGATTGATTCTGCGTAATGTGTAAAAGGGAGATTCCAACCGTAGGTTGGTTGGGTAGTCGCGGTCTAATTGTACCACCTCGAGGTGGCCCATGCTCTTGCCCATATCCGCGGTCGAATTGGACTTCCAATCCGACAGCTCCTCTCAGCACACAGAAGGAATAAGAGAATTCTCGAAAGAGAATGACATCGTCAGGCGAGGAACTGATGTGCCGCAAGAGCATCAGGAATTTGTCAAACAAGTTCAGGATAAGATAAATAAGCATTTCTCAGGTCTTCTACAGTACTTCAGCGCGGAAGAGTTGGTCTGTGGAAGTTATGTAAATATATATTGCCTGTTAGAAAGATTGGCTACTGTAGTAGCTAACAACTCCTCCCCGGAGGACAGCTGCCCAGAATGGGAACGACTCAAGGAGCTTGAGCGTACGCACAACGACACCGACGATGTGATTATATACCGGTTTCTGATGCTAGCCGTTTTATACCGAACAGCTCCCGACAACGAAAAAATGCTCCACTCAGCGGTATGGGACCAGGTGGTGCCCATTATTTAGATATCTGGCTGAATCACAATGAGAAACTGTCCAAGTTAGACACCTATTGATTCAAAGATGTTGGCGATACGCGCTTGAAACGAGAAATCTCAATTTGTGTTTTCAAATAATTCCGATAACTATCAATATTTTAAAGGTGCCCCCCTTTCGATCGGTCACACATGATATCGCCCTAAACATCATAAACATTAGTTTCGTATGCGTCATCTACATCAAATTTGGGGGTAGAAGGAAGTCTCATCATTACTAATAGTCAATGAAGATATATGAACGTACAGGTAAATCAAAGCTCGTACTCGACGTGGTGGGCGAGTGACAGCAAGCCTACTTATGTTTATAATGGAGACCTAAAGCAAAGCAAGAGTAGAGCATACACGGACTGAGGTGATTGGACTTTGTCAATATATCGTCGTCACTCCTTGAGTTCGTGCAAAGGCTCCATCAACGACCTTCAACATGAGAAGCTACCAGGACTTCAATAATTTACACGAAGCATCTCGATTAACGCAAACTTAGACATTACACTTTGAAAGCTATTTTGCATCCCTGCTTACTGCCCACTGCCGTTGTTGACCAACAAGTTCGGCGATCCCTTCGGGTCACCAACAACATCCGGAATAGCAAGCTCCAAGATCCTATCAGTCACCTCCTTGGGCGTTCCGAAGCCGCCCTCCACGCCTCTAAAGTAGCACACCAGACCAGCGACAAGCGGCGCCGCCATATTGGTGCCAGTCTTCGTCGCCGTGCCCGTGTCAGAGCTGTAGCTAGCTGAGATGATATCCTGACCGGGCGCGAAGACGTCCAGCTCGGGGCCGTAGGATCTGCCGTAAATTCCCTCAATAATGTTGACGCGGCCGCGGTCGGGGCGCGTCATACCGACGGTGAAAGACTCGGGTAGTCTGCCGGGGGAGGTATCGGTAGCCGGCTGGTTGTCGTTGCCTGCCGCGACGACGGTGAGGATGCCCTGGTTGTAGGCAGCGAGGACGGCATCGTCGAGGGCCGAGACGTTCCTGGCGCTCAAGGACATGTTGAGAACGGACTTGCCCTGCGCGCCCTTACTTACGATGTTGTTGACTGCCCATGTAAGGCCGGTGAGGATAGCCGAGGTGGAGCCCTGGGAAAATGTCAGCACGAAGCAAGGCAAACGGGGGGTCATGTTGTAATTACCGTAGACCCGTCAAACACCTTGATGTCAATGACCTTGGCCTTCTTGGCGACGCCGTAGGTCTTGCCGACGATAGTCGCAGCAACGTGAGTGCCGTGGCCGTCGGTGTCGGAGTTAGAGCCGGGGGAGACGGTCGATCCGGTCACACCGTTGATACCGAAGCTGGCGCGGCCCTCGAACTCAGAGTGCGAAGTCCGGATGCCTGTGTCAAAGACGTAGGCAGTCGTGCCCTCGCCGGCAGTGCTATCGTAGACATACTCAGTAGAGCCAGCAGCCTTGTGGGACAGATCACCCAAGCTTCAGATGCTGCTCGCCTGGGTAGTCAGATCGCGCTTCGAGAGCGTCGACTCCTGCTCGGTGGGGTCGACAAAGATGGCCTGGTCGATCTCGACGGAAAGGACCTCGTCGAGAGCCGCAATTCCCTCGAGGGTCGCGTCGTCGAAGCTGCCGCTGTAGGCGTTGAAGTTGCCAATCTGGAACGTCTTCTCCACAGTGCCTGCGGACCCATCACGGCGGCGAAGGCTGCGAACCGCCTTGTGATGTGCGGTGACGGCTTCGAGAGTGGTGCCGGGCTTGAGTTGGATAATGTACTTGCCGGACATGAGGTCCGTGTCGGCACGGCGATCGATGCCCTTGGGCGCCGCGAGGGCGGGCACAACGGCGCCGAGGATGGCGAGGAGGGATGATGACTTCGTCTTGGTCGATCACACGAATTGACGCTGAGGAGTCGATGATGATGACCTTCACAAAAAAGGAGAAGAATTGTTGGATCCCAATTGCCCTTTAAATGCAGCCATCTTGCCGTTGCGATTGCGGAATCTCCTGTTCATGAGTCGGCCGAGTCGTCCGGAGTTGTTGAACGACTGCCATGATTCTCATTGCGTGACACGGGGCCGATAACCTATTCAGGAAGCTCGACGGCACCGTTGCCGCGGGTAGATCCGACCCCGGCCGGCTCCTGCCAATAGTTAAAAGCCGGTATTTCGTCGAAGCTACCAATTGGGTCTAATTTTAGACTAGTTTACTGTCAAGGAAACTGTCGACAGTGATCTTATCTTGCTCTTTAGCCTGTATCTTCATGCTCGACTCTTGAGTGAAGTTATCGCAAGTTATCGCAAGCTTGTCAAGGACTGTTAAGATCGTATAGCTGCTCTGTTAACCTCGTATTGATGCTTGAAGCATCGCCTTATCCGGACAGCCAAGCCAAAGCCCCGAAATTAGCCATGGGTCGCGATGGAACCCTGGCCATGGCGACCTTCCCCGTTCTTCCTAACGGCTCTCCCCGCCAAGCTTAAAGATTCCTGCTTAATCGGCCACTGCCGAGCCCCAACAATGACCAGCCCTAGCTCTTGGCCATGCGGTCGCATGAGTCTCGAGCTCTTAATCCTGTACGGATACATCGAGGTTTCGTCCGCGGTATCCGTGGGTCGTAATTCCGTGTATCGCTGTCAGCGAATTGTAAAGTCGAAAACAAAAGAGCTCACGGGCAACATTTCCGAATCGCGAAAACGAGAATGTAGCTCACTAGACCAATGTCAGCAGCTCACTTCAGCGCCAAGTATTGTGACTGATCCATGTCCCAATTAACGCAAGTCTGTCTATTCTTTCCACCTGCGATATCAAGCTTGAATCGAGTTTAAACTTTAATGATACGACTCGAATATGCAGAGAAAGCTAGCCTTATTGACGTTTCCATTGGTGGGGGTTAGTTAATATTAGCCTGCCCTGACACCTTCGCAACTATCGACGAGCTCGCCATTTTCCCATTTAATCAACTTATCAATCGCTCTGAACCAGCCACATATCGAACCAGTCAACCATGGCACGAAGACTCTGTTCCTTGCACCAACCTAAAAAAAATTCAGTTAGCTGAGATGATCCGAATTAAAGTAAAACACATCTGGACAGTAAAGACTCACGCTGGTAAGGGTCTGACGGGTCTCCTTTCACGGCGAAGCCGTGTGACACGCCCTGGAAGACCTGAAGGTGATAAATTTTCTTCTCTCTTTGAAGGAAGTCGATTGCTTTTCTTCTTGCCTCGGTGGGGAAAGCTTGGTCGTTCTCAGCGCATGAGAGCAACAGAGGCTCTATTGTACATCGGGTCAACCTTCTCAGTTCTCAAAAGCTAGAAGAAGTGTCCCGCCATAGCCCAGTCGTAGTCACGCACACCAGATTGGCTGCCTGAAAGACGCGATTGAGCAACGACCGAAGAACGACTCATTCTTCTTCTGACCAAACTTACTCTTGATGCTGGTGAAATGTTCCTCCTTCAACGCCGTCGGGTGCGCAAATGCACCGGCGGAAACCACAGGCTCCCCGTCGCCACCAGCCCCGGCGAGCAAATTGCACACAAAAGGCGCACCGAAACAATATCCAACGCAGGCAAACTTCGTCTCCTTGCCCGTCTCAGCCTTCAACTCGGCACCGAACCTCTCCTTGACAGCGGCTGTCCACTTAGGAACATTTTCCGTGGCAAAGTTCCAGTGCTTGGAGCGCCAGGCCGCCATGTCGAACCCCTCCGGCAGCGGATCGGTTTTGGCGTTGCGATACTTGGAGATGGGGTCGCCACGGAAGAAATCCATGCCAAGCGCCGTGTACCCCGAGGAGGCGAAGCCGTCCATGATGCACTTGGCGTTGACGGAGAGGCCCCACACGTCCGGGAAGTAGAGGATGACATGTCCGTTAGGCGGCAGGGAGCGCTTCACGTCTGCCGGGCGAACGACGTAAGTGGGCACTTCGAGGATGTCTTCCACATCACCGCGGGGGTTGCCTTCGTGGAGGGTGCCTGCCCAACAGCACGGTGCCGGGGGTTGGGCGAGATATTCTGGATTATTCGACGACTTTTCTGTCATTTTGAGTATGTTTCTTGAGTCTCTGGTGAACGAGGTATGAGTGTCGGTGGATGAGACTGGGTTTAATAAATCGGAGTGGGCACGGGGAGATAAAGGTAATGCCGCATCGGTACCGACTGCACATGGAGTTAGTGCGTCCCCGCGGGGTTTCAAACGGCGGCACAGACCAGAAGTTCGATCCATCCAGGAATCTTCCTTGTGAAAGGATGACGTATTTTGTTCTCGCCGACCTAGAAGATCCCATGATTATCTGTAGCAGAAGTCGACCTGGCGCTGCAGATTACTCGAGTGCTTCTTGTTCAGACTAGCATTTGTCCTGACATGTCTTAATTTATGTCGAAGTACTGGCACGTTTCATCAGTCATAACACTAACAGCGTTCGGCACTGTAGCCCAGGTTTATCTTTGTTGGTATTCCTTTCACAGGGAAGTTGGTTCGAACCGTAGGGTCCTGGGGGTGACGAAGTATCAATATCTCTGTATTGATTGATTCTGCGTAAGGAGTAAAAGGGAGATTCCAACCGGAGGTTGGGTGGGTAGTCGAGGTCTAATTGTACTCCCTCGAGGTGGCCCATGCTCTGCCCTTACTCGCGGCCGAATTGGGCTTCCAATCCGACAATCTTCCTTGTAGAACGTGAGGATCTCTTCAGTGCCGCAACATCGATACTTCGTATTCATTCACTGTACACAACATTTTACCCACTCCTTCGTGTATAATTACCTATTTCGATGCAAATCAATCGATATAAATTTCTTGATTTGACTGGTAAGGTAGTAGCCGTTTGATTATTGATAGTTGTATTTGCGGGAAATTATATCCAAGCAGGTTCTAATTCCATTCCTGATGTCTCTTGCAGACTAAAGCAAAACCTAACCCCGATGCCTTCGAACTCAAGACCAATCACCTAGTAGTTACAGAGAAACCGTTCCAACCCAATAGTTACGTTACAGTGAACCTCTGTGTTTCCAAATTGTTAACCTCAGCATGCCAGTATCCGCCCCGCCTCCCCCAATCATCAAGGCCGAACCATTACACTGAAGGTAGCTGAGTGAGTTTCTAGTACTCCACTCCGTTGCAATGTCTCTGCCATTTTCTTTCCATAAGGGTGGGACGAGCAACTGATGAGTACTGTTGGTCGTGCTTTCTTGCGTTCTTGTCCAATCTCACATGGTTCGACCACAATTCTAGGCGTGAACTGATATTCGTCGACAGGAGTAACTGCGATGAAGGCATCTATCGTCTTTTCTAATCGATTCCACGATTGCTCAATATTTGATCCTGGGCTTAGTTGCCATATGGTCTCGCCGTTCAACCTCGACTGCTCGTTACTTGGAGTAGCAAGAGGTTGGTGATGTCGGTATCCGCCTTTGATATCATGTGATGTGTAAGGATTGGCTGAGAATTTTTCGGAGGCTTCCCTGCCGTCGTCATTCGATCTGCAACAAAATAGACTAGTGATTCTTCGTCTGGCTTGGACAAAAAAGCTTTGCTTAATATCAGAGTATTCGCCTTGGCTGTCGATTCCCCGTCGATCTGCCGGTAGTCCGATATTCTGCTTCAACCGTGGTGCAATACCAAAGCCCATTGCACGATGTCTTCCCGGTTTCAGTAAACGTTGCTTTTGCTGAGGAGTACTGATCTATAATTTTCGTGAGGCGAGATGATTCTAAACTCAGAAACGAAGTTTAGTTTCATACTGGACATCCACAATATATAGGTACTAGGTAATCGAGGAGAATGCCTTACGGAGCCTGGCCTCATGTAGATGTCATTTCAACGACTGTAAAGTGTAGACACCCACTTTCTTGTCGGAGGAAGTGACCGGTATATGTCACGTCGGAACTCCTCACTCTGGACGCTGCATCGCCAGCGCCACTGCTTACATGTGGCTGAGAAACTGCCTAGCTGACATGCATTCCCGCACTGCCCTCACACCACAATTGTCAGAGCCCTCCCGGATAGGGGCTAGTAAGAGGTAGTAAGGAGTCCAAGCAACAAAGGAACAGCTCAGATATATATACAGCGCAGGGAGTACACGTCGAGGGAGGAGCAGACTTCAGTAATTCATCATTCTACCCCTAACTGCAGTTGGCCTCTAAGAGCTTCCACCCTGTGTCAACATCCCAACTTGACAACAATCACATATCCGGTGAGAGCAGGCGACCAATAGAAAGGCATCAGCGGGCCACACACATCCCTCCCAGCTTTCATTTACGGAGAAATATTGGTTCTGCCACCTCTTCCTTTACACTTGGTATCTTGGACTAGTGTTTTGTGCTTCTGCCTAGGCCAATTGTTAATGAAGCCTCCCAAGTCGCCTCAAAGAGAGGGAGGCAGGCTACCACTGCTTCCAACACATATGCATGATAATGCGTCAGCTCGATCATTTTGATTGAGGATTGGTTGGCCATTTGTTCGGTGACTAGAAAGTCACAGGATGTAAGCAGTCATTTTCAATATTTATGCGGCCTTAGTACATACTTGCATTAGTAGTGCATCAGACAAATCTCATCGACAGACGCTTTCGGCCCTTGCGTGACATGCGCAGCACATCTCTATTATTCCGCAGTGCACCTGACTATTATAAGACAGCATTGTACCTTTAGACGAAATTTGAGCACGAAAGAGCTCAGTCTTCACAGGCGAAGAACTCTGCGTCGCTTGATTTCTTGTAAGATTTCTTCTCCAAATGAATAGAACTGATCGAGATGATCGTATCGACTGCAGGCTCTACCGTGCCCGTATTTCGGATGACCTGGCCAAGGATCTAGCAGCGGGAGTATGGCAAGTCAATTACTCGGAACATCAAGGGTTGCATATCCAAGAGAATATTTTTCTCATTTGAAATGAGCTGACTTGTCATCAGACCAGATTATGAACTGGACAGTTACGTGTTGGCGTTAGAGAGAAAACTATATGTGTTCTCTGAGGGCCAACATATCATCCGTACCTTCCGCCACTTGCTGGACCTTGTCGAAGTGGTAAAGCAGAATCGTAATGAGAACCGGGAAGAATTAGGCCGCTTGGTTGTGAATCTACGTCAACGATGGGTTCCGCCGTCAAATAACAATGCGCCGCCAGCTGTACCAGTATGTCTTTTTGTTAAAGTCCGATACAGATGGTTGAACCAAGTCCTCGTCGTTAAATGATCGAACTCAACCGTTTTCTTTAGATAGAACATGTGTACAATTCCGTCGATTTTGCCATCGAAGTCTGGTTGATGCGTCGTTTCAACGCAGCCGGCGAGAGCCGGCCGCCAGGTGAACGCGGCTTCGCCTGGAGAGATGAGCGCAAAACGATAGCCGATGCCTTCCGTTCCATTTTACCCGGTCATAAAGACCCGGAGTTTCCACCACCTGACAAAGTTTTCCAAAAACACGTTTACACTACGTGACTTTCAGAAGTTCGGCGACTTTATCATACAGCCTACCGACAACATCTTTGAACACTTGTTAGTGCGACGCCATAAGAAGAGAGAAACCCGACTTACTCTCCATGTTTTCTTTCACGTTTCTACACTGCAGAAGCTTCAGGCATGGAACGATTCATTGGGTGGGTTGGTAGCTTCAGTACTCATCCGTCGATCAATCAAGAATAGTTCAGTACATATTGATTAAGAGCCTAGGGTTTACTTTGACCACCCCAAATTCATCAACGAGACAATGCAAACCTTGTCTCTGCTCCTACCACTGAACGATTTGGACAGCATAGACTGGTTCAAGAGTTATCGTAAAAAGTTTCAACGCAGCTTGCCGAGCAAGTCCAAGTCTTTGAGCGGAATCGACCCTCATGCTGGGCAAATGCCGGTTGGTTCAAGACGCGCTGCCGACTACAACTATTGGCTCCCACGGCTGCTGGAATTGGAAAAAGAATTTCTGAACTATTCTCCGCGAACTCTTGGGCAATTCTTGCGTGACCATCGGCGATACCGCAATTGGACACTGTACTGGGTCGGTCTCGTGGCGCTAGTGCTGACTCTCATATCCTCCATGACCGGTGTGGTGTCTGCCGTTGTGGGTGGCTTGGCTCTGAAGGATGATAAGAATGACAGAGAGTCACTGACAGCGGCTTGCTGTTGTCGAGACATAGACTCCGTCACCAATATCCTAACAGAGGAGAGTCTTGCTCCAGTGTCTGCTTCTGTGGTGACTCTTGCGCCCGCTCAGGTCATTGACCCAGGGCAGACACTGATTGTCACAATCCTCGTGACTACCACTGTCACGACAGAGGCTTGACGGATTTCTTTTTCCTGGCTCTAGAGGTAGCAATAGAGACTCAAAGACTTTGATTGGTTTTTATTCATGAATGGATGCTGTGATAGAAACCCCATCAACCAGCATGGCCTAGGAGTGAATCCAACACAAAGCACTACATGATATTTTGAGACTTCCTTGAGTACGAGACAATTTTCAATTTCTTAGATTATGGTTATGCGAGTTTCATGTTGGGTGTACCTTACAAAGCACTAACTATGACTGTGGTCCTCGAGACCGAGCAGCACTACGAGGATTTCGTTCTATTCGTCTCTATCTTGTCAAGCTCTGAGTCTATGTGTGAAATGCCATTCACGCAACTTCCAGCCTATGCCGCGCTTTCATTCATTCGAAATTTCAAAATTCTAAACAGTATTCGGGTATCTATGAGCTCTCGTACTTGGCCAAGATGCTCTCAAAGTCTTTCCAGTTGTGCATAACGTCAAAAGCGCCAAGCTCCTCGCTGAAGAGCTTGATCATGGAGTCCAGCTTCTCCTGGCCCTCCTCGTAGTAGGGTCCAACGTATCCCAAAAGGGGAATGCCGGCGCTCTTGGCAGCGGTGGCACCGCTTCTGCTGTCTTCAATGGCAATGCACTCGCTGGGCTTGTAGCCAAGCTTCTCGCAGGCGTGGAGGTAGATGGCCGGGTTGGGCTTGGAGATGGGGGGGTCGATGCTGCTGGCAGCGGAGAAGATGCCGACGTCGGGCTTGTCGAAGAACTGGTCCATGTTGGTCTTCTCGATGGAAGCGACGACACGGGGCATGGCGGAGGAGGAGACAATGGCCATGTGGTACTTCTTGCCCTTTTGGAGCTTCTCGAGGACCTCGATGACGTTCTCGCAGGGCTCGGCCTTTGCGCGGAGGTTCGCGATGGTGGTGTCGAGCTCCTTGGCGACCCAGTGGTCGAACTCGTCGGCGGGAATGGTGAAGCCGTGACGGGCGCAGAGGCCGGTCATCATACTCCGGAAGTTCTGACCGACGAACTGGTGCATGAGCTCGGTGCCGCCATAGCGCTTCTCGAAGCCGAACTTCTCGAGGATCTGGTTGGCGAGCTGAGCGCAGGCCTCAAACGCTGCGTTCTCGGAGAGAACGAGCGTGTTGTCGCAGTCGAAGAGGAGGCACTTGATCTGTAATGGGAGCGATTAGATGGATTAATCTTGAGGTCGCTCATGAGGTTTACCCATTGAAGCTGAGATCTTTACTTACTTGAGGCATCTTGAAGGGTATGGAATGGCGATTCCAGGTAAGAAAAGATGAAGGAGAGAATAGAGTGAAGAGAGAAAAGAAAGAAACATTGTTAATGTTGGTGACAGATTTTCAATGATCGGCGAGCTTGTGAAAGGTGGGGGGTCATCTTCAGGAACAACGCCACGGTCCCTGGGCGGATCATGGATGGAGGGGTAAGTGGGTTCCTAAAAAAAAGAGCGCAGACAGGTTTCAGGAATACGGCACTGCATTCACTTCCCTGTCAAACGTGTCTTATCGCAAGCCTCGTTGCCAATGACAGCAAGGCGTGGACAGGAAACCTCAAGGATGTTCCTGATAACTTCTACGAAACTGTATTCAATTATCTGGTATCAATGGCATCTTCTCTCTTGATCTGGAACTTGACAGGTGTCTACAACATGAGGCTTTGAAATGGCATTCCTCTCTACGCTTCTTTCCGATATTGCCCACATGGAGGGGTTGGAGGGGCAGACCTCGAAAGATACACTCTATCGGCCCGCCCATTGATTCTCTTCGAGATGACCAACGGCAGGCCGCGAAAAGGACCGAAAACTTTCGTCCAACGGTTCTGCGACGGCATGATGTCATCTGATGACGTAGAGCGCAGAAAGACTCCATCAAAGTGTGGATTTCGTACAGAATGGATCCCGGTCTGACTCGTGAGCCGCGACAGCCGTCGACAACGGTAGACCCACGACGGTGAGGTGGATAGTCAACCGTTTTGATTTTGGATAGCAATTGTTTTATGGCTGATATCTGGACTGTATATTTTTTTCTGTTGAACGTGTGTCTGCGAAATTGAGGCGCCGTACTGTCGTGAAACTTTACTCGGCCGACAACGACAATTCCAAATCATCCTGGCTCGGTTTTGTATTTTCGTCAAAGTGGCCGCCGATTTGAGTCAACAACTGCCCCTGGGTCTGGGGAGAGCTACTATCATCAGGAGTATGTTCCTTCTTTGGATCCTTTGAGTCTTTCGAGCCTTCGTGTTGCTCGGTTCCTGCGGTTGTGCTTCTCTCTTCGTGCGAGGCTTTAGTCGATGGGGACGAACCGCGTTCTGCGGCAACTGTACTTGAGGCCTGTCGTGGTGAAGATTCGGAGGGTCTGAAGTGAGAGATTCAGCTGAGAAGAAATCACTGGAGATGGAAGGGCAATGGGGCTTACCGCTCTATCCTTTGAGTCGGTTGAGGGTTCATTTCGTGTTGGGGTCTACTCAAGTCGGCATCGTTTCGCGTGTCCTCAGCCGGGGCTGGAAGGGATTGCTTCATAGTTGATGAAGTATTGATAGCCTATTTCACAATTAGCTTTTCCGGCTCAATATTTGAAACAAGTTCGGTTCCAGGGTCATGGGAAGTTGTTGATCGAAGTCGATCACTCACAATTCGCCTGTACCTGAGCAAGGCTAGAGTTTGACGCTGTTTACCTACACGGGGCGTGTTGAAAGATCTGAGAAGCACAATGAAGAGTTGCGGATGTGTAAGTCGCGAGGTCGGCGTATCCTATTAATTACTCGTGAACCACAGGATGAAGATGGGTAGAAAATATGAAGCAGAAGACAAACGAGTGCGAGGCGCAGTTTTCTAACTTCTCAGTTGACTCTAAAAATTCCATAGGAAACCGTGACAGTATGGTTGGATCTCTAGCGCATCAAACCGTGATTTGAAGACTAGTATGTAGTAATTCACGATAACAACGACATCCAAAGCCCTGGTGTCGGCATTTTCAAAGCCCTAGTGTCAGTATGTTCTTCTGATTCTTGAGTAAATTCTGTTCATTTGATCAGCTTTCGTCTTGACCGCATCGTGCAATGCAGAGCGATCAAAGTCTCTGCCTAGCCGTTCCTTCGTGAAGGTGTGGTAGGATGCAGGAGACACGTCGCATCGTGGACAGGGTCCCCTTCAGCCAGTAGCCCCAACATGCTTCCGACGGACCTCACTGAGGGGCCGTTGATACATGTAGATTTGCCGTGCTAATACAACGGACCCCCTAATGAGTCATCTATTACTACATGTCAGTATCTCTAAGTGGTAACAGGGGTAGTTGGGACATTTGAGGAAAGGACATGCCACTGAGATCACGGCCGCACTGGCGGACGCAGTGTTCAAAACTTCCGAAACTACAACCAGTTTACGAAACAATAATTGAAGTCTACTACAAGCTTCAAATTTCTTGACATGAGAATTGAGTTCCACGATAACAACCACTTCGACGCTGGCTTTCCAGAGACTCTTACACACGTCCCACATTTTCCCAGCTTTTGAGTTCATCGGAAATGACGTTCCTCACGGCGGCAAAGTGCAGCAAGGCATAGAACTAGATTTCTGCTGCCCTAGCGGCTCTTCCTTCTATTGGCTTCAAAGGACAGGTGTGTAGGCTGCCTACTCTTCTAGCAAGGGTATCTAGTACATCACGCGTGCGCGGTGACGCGCCCATGTGAACTCTGGGTTTCTTTCCTCTAGGGCTTGGCAAGGCAACCGGTCGCCTTGTCGTATGTCAGCCAATTAATCGGTGTGGTCACCTCGGTCAATGTTGTCTTCGGCCGTTTCCTTGGTGATTCCAAGCCCCTTGTCTCTGAAACCCTCGCTCAGAAGCGTTGGGGGCCGAGAATTCAGTAACAATGCCATTCGCTATGACCAATAGTGTCGGGCGTCTTCCCGATTCTGAAACATAACACCAGCAGACGCCCGCTATTCTTTCCAACATGTTGTAAATATTTTGATGCGCCAGTTATTGTCGTGGATTCCAGGTTGTTGAGACAAAGCAGTTCCAGGTTTTATCCTGGTTGCTCCAGTCTGGATCGATGAATCGTACCTTCAAAGAAACTAGATTCAAATGCGTTCTATCTCACACATTTCCCTCTGTGTGTACTTTCCTCCATCGCTTCATGTCTCTGAAGCAACTTGGTGTAGGCTTGGTCAGGCACCCACGACGCTTTCTGTCCGACTGTACTACGTGGAATTCGGACCGCATTCTAAGTAATTTCCAACAAGCCACGGCGGATATACTTATATCAACTAAGATCTTTTCATCCGTACTTCGATGCAAATGCCCCAAATAATTTATCGTAGTTATTGAGTTTCGATCTGAATACTGATTAGATAATCTGAGATCCTTCCAATCATTAGCGTTGAATTTTCCAACGTCTCCAACAGGTCCCGTCAGCTTACACCCCCGCACAATCACACAAAAGTTCATCTGAAGACGCATTGAGAAACTTGGCTTGGACTGACTTCAATAAGGCTAGAGAAAATGGCACCGCGAACTCGTGAAGAACTCCTCGCCTACGGCATTGTCGACCCTCTAATCGAAGCCGTAGGTTCACCTCGAACCCCATTGACCTCTCCCACCTTGTCTAGAAGCTGACAACACCTCTCCTCCTCCAGGAACTCGCCACCCGACCTCTCCGGGACCCACAGCGCGGAGACCCTTACTTTGGACGAAATGACTTCTTCGCTATGAGAGAACACCGAGCGGCGCGGTTGCGTGAGTCCCATCACCTGCGCTACCTCCCCGGCCCCATCCCGGACCGGGTCCGCGAGGAAGACTGCAAAGTCACCATTAGAGACGGCCATGCAATCACTGTTCGGATCTACACACCTGAAAAGACCCCGTCTGAAGGCAGCCCGCTCATTGTCATGTATCATGAGGGTGGATGGTGCATGGGTGATCTTTCTGATGAAGAGGTCAACTGTCGCCTGTTCAGTAGGGATCTCGGTGCAGTCTGCGTCAACATCGAGTATCGGTAAGCTCATGACTCCAGGTTCGGGCTTGGTAACAACATTGACGTAAAGCAGGCTCGCTCCTGAGTTTCCCTTCCCGGCTGGCGTCAACGACAGCTGGGATGCTTTGCAATGGGTAACTGACTTGTGCCGTCTCCACGACTTAACCGTGACTGACCAAGGATGATGCAACAGGTAGCTAGGAACGCAACCGAACTAGGCGCACACCCATCTCAAGGCTTCATTATTGGCGGCGGCTCTGCCGGCGGTAATATCACAGCCGTCCTCGCCCACCTTGCCCGCGATAACAGTCTCTCCCCGCCGCTCACTGGGCAATATCTATGCGTCCCAGCCATCATGTGCCTCGCGCCCCCCGAATCCTTGCCTGAGCAATACCGTCCCGAGTATCTTAGCCACCCCGCCGTCACGCCGTGCAAAGACCCGGTCATTGGCACCACCGTCGGCGATGGGGAAGCTGCACTGCGTGCTATTATTCAGCCCGACCTGGAGAGTCCTCTATTCATTCCGTTCCACTATGGAAAGATCGGTCAAGGTCACAGGGGATTGCCACCCGCATACTTCCAGCTGGCTGGGTTGGATCCTTTCCGAGACGAGGGCCTCATTTATGAGCGGGTGCTGAGAGAAGAAGCTGGTATCAAGACGAAGCTTGATATCTACACTGGACTTCCTCATTACTTTTGGACCAATTGGCCACTCCTGGAGAAGAGCAAGACATTCGTGGAAGACACAATCAAGGGTGTCCAATGGCTGTTAGAACAGAAGAAGTAGTAGGGGTCACCACTTTTTGATAGTGACGGTCATGTTGTATACATGGACTGAGGCTTGAGTTTACCAAGCACTTCGCAAATGTCGTTCGACATAGAGCAGCTTCTCAGAAATCAGTCTCATGCTTACATGTACTTATGCTTAGATACACAACAAAGCCCCCTTGGTGTCATCTGCCAACTTGGCTCTCCATAATCGGTTCTCATTCAAGATGAAGATCTCTCCATTGCGACCGAAGCAGAAGTTGGCAGCACCACCCTGAACAAGAATCTTTCCTAGCAAAACGCCCCCTGCAGACCAAATGTTGACCCCGTCACCGCAGCCGCTGTACACGTTCCCATGCACGTCGCAATTGATTCCATCCGGGATGCCGGTGTCAGCCATGGCAAAGAGACGTCTATTTGTCAGGAACGGTTCCCCTGAGTAAGGGACCACATCGAATGCGTAGCTACCCATCGTCAGTTCACTTGCCCTTATACAGGTGGCGAAACCTAGCTTATCAAGCCGCGCCATAAGAACTCACATTGTTGACGCTCGTGTAAGATCAGTCGAACCGTCGCCATGAATCCAGTCGGTGTCTGTGATGTACACAGTCTTCTCGTCGGGGCTGAAGCAGATGCCATTCGGCCGGCCAAAGCCATCAGCCATGGCCCTAATAGAGCCACGGATGGGATCGTATCTGTAAACTTGGTTGGGAAGTTTCGGCTTCGGCCGGATACCCTGCTCGTATCCATAGATCGGGTCGGTGAACCACAGAGAGCCGTCACTGTGCCCCACAACGTCGTTGACAGAGTTGAACTCCCGACCGTGGAACGAGTTGACCATCATCCGCGTCTGGTAAGGCGGTTCCGCTTCCATGAAAACCAGGCCTCCAGGCGCGGAGTGCGTGCCCTGGGCGCAGAAGACGATTCCGTCGAGGTAGTTGACGCCTCCGTTGGCCATGGTTATGATGGCGGGGTTGATCTCCTCACACTTCGTCTTGGAACTCCCGTCGGACGGTAGCATGACGCGGTTAATCTGAATTTTGCGACCGCCGGCCGCATGGTCATTGTATTGATTGCTAGTGATGAAGAGCGTGTTGTTGCGCTCGATGAAGACTCCGGCCTCGTGAGCGAAAGGGTAGTCCTGGTTCTCGTGCAACAGCTCAAGCGACGGTGCGGAGCCGAACAGCGTCTTGACTCGGTCGTCGTAGACAACAAAGTTGGCCATTGTGAGGGCTACAAACGAGGTTTGGTTAGCTGATTGAGACAGTCAGAGTCGTATTTTCTTTCCAAGAAGGTTCTTCGAGAAGTACTGCGAGAATCATTGGCTTCGACGTTCAACGGTTGGACGGCGGTCGAAGAGTATCAGTTGGGGCGGTTTTATGTCTCCAGGTCGCACGGATGCGGGGCACGATTGCGGGCACGATGCACCTGTTCCTGTCACAGGATAGAGTTCGTGGGTCTGTGGCCAGTATTCGGCGTACGTTCGGCAAATGCTTCGAGAGCTGCGTCTCCCTCACGTGCATAGTCACGGGTCGACTTTCACACAGCAATGAGAGGATACAGCTTCTAATTGTGATCTTCTATGTCATTTTCCCCGGAGACCGTCTGGCTGCTGTAGAGTATTACCACGCTAGTTGCAGTCCAATCACCGTCAGCAAGTTGGGAGTCGAAGTCGTGGGAAGTTTGTGTCTTTCATGAAGTGAAATCAAAGAGTATCTCGAGGTTTTCAGGTCAATTGGATTTCTCAGTACTCGAAGACCTTGCTTGATTCCAAGTTTATTCACAGTGATGTATTCTCGCTAGCTGAATCACAGAGTTGCATTTGGTGTTTAGTCCGCCTTATGAAATCGAATGGTCTTATCCACGCTAGTCCAACTGCAATAAAACTGCTAACACAGGCAGGTATGATGCCGCAGAACATGGATTTGTATAATTTGTCCATACTTACGCCAATAATCTCCAATCAGCATCATTCAGGGTATCCAAATTCAATGCCCCTCTTTTGCCACAATGGCTTCCAATCTGTGCTTTGAGTCTTGGCCCAGCAGCAACCACAACTAAGCCCTGACTTCTTCGATATCCCAGACTTCATGCTTGCTATCTGTGTCATGGTTCGTATTCTCAAAGTCATCGCCAGCAAAGAGGCGATCGACATCTTCCAGCTCCAGTCCTTTGGTCTCAGGGAAGAAGAGGTAGATGACGGGCACCCATGCGGCGTTCAAGACCGCAAAGATGATGTAAGTCCGCCATCCAATAGTCGAGATGGAGATTGGAGTGATTTGAACAACCATCTACATATTGAATCGATCAGCAGCTGCCGAAGTACATCATTTCATCTGGAGATAACTCACGTAGTTGAAAATCCAGTTGGTTGCACTGGAAATAGACGAGCCCAGCTGCCGAATACGCAGAGGCAAAATCTCGGAGCTGTGCGAGCACGGCAGTCAGCGCAAGGACTCCACACGAAGGGCAGAGGAACCAGAAGAAACTTACGGATAAACCCAGACAGTTGCCTGGAAGCCAATCGTGAAGGCGCCCTGGAATACGAACAGCATCGCTGCAGCACCAATGCCGGCTGATTTGGCAATGGCGGTAGAGTTCTGGACCTGGTAGATGAGAGCTGCTTGGACTGCCATGACGGCTGCCATGACGCTAATCATGGACAAGAGCTGTTACACCTCGTTAATTTGACTTTTTTCCACCAAGCTTTGGGGAGATGAAACGGGATGGGTATTTACCAAGGGTCGCCTGCCCACGCGGTCGATCAAGAACCAGGGAATAAAGGAGGCGACGAAGAACCAAGTCTGCAGGAAGCCAGACATGAGACTCGACATGTGACTATCGAAGCCGATACTCTTCTCAAATAAGGTACCGCTGTAGTCTTGAGCAGGGACAGCCGTTAGCACACCTTGATCCAAAGAGAAAGAAACGATTCTGGTTAAGAATACAACTCACAGATGATAGCATTGATTCCCCCGAGCTGTTGTGCGCCTTGTAAGAAACACGCAATGAGGAATCTTCTTTGGCTCTGAATACGATCTTGCACCAAGAGATCTCGCCACGAACTCGCGCTATTCTCGGCCTCGTACGATACCGTCTGCGTGATCGAGTTGTGGAGAGCATAAATTGTGTCCTCATCCTCATCGCACTTGAGGCGCTTCAGGACGGCCAGGCATTCATCTTGCCGATTGTGTGATGCGAGCCATCGAGGGGTCTCTGGGATGAGCTGCAGGATGATGAACATTGGCAAGATGCATATGCACTGCATAGCAACCGGGACTCTCCAGGCGTAGCTTTCAATGTGTGACGAGAAAGCGTAGTCGATCCAGTAGATGAGGAAGATTCCAAAGTTCAGGGTAGATAGCTGTGCGCAGGCGTCTGTAATTCTTGGCGTCAGCGAATGTCTACGCAATTTCCAGACTCCAAGATCGGTCGAGACTCTTGGAAACTTCAATTGCACCGGTGGTATCCAACTTACAAATGCCTCGGCTTGCCTTGGGGCTGAACTCAGCCTGTAGAACGGGAACGGTGGAGTTGACGATGCCCATCCCGATACCCGAGACAATTCGCCCGACAATCATCTGGGCGCGTCCATACGAAGCGGCCTGAATGACAGCGCCGACGACCATGATAGAGCAACCAGTTCCGATGGTTCTTCGGCGGCCATACTTCTCGCCGAATATCGCCGTGGCTACACATCCAAAGAAACATCCAACTAAGGTAGAGATACCAGGGTCAGCTGACCACACTTATAGACTTCAAGTCCTGTCATCAACTCGACTTGCCTTCGTAGATTGCCACAATGAGGCCTGTCATGGTCGGATCCGGAGAGTCGAACGTCGAGTTGAATGCCGGTGCATTGACTAAAGAGAACTGTTAGAAAGTGGTCCAACTCTTGGCAACTCGTTGTAGAGACGACCTACCCAGGCCTCCCATAAGGCCATTGTCATAGCCAATAAGCATGAAACCCAACGATGTGAGAACGCTGACGGCCAAGACTAGCCGCTGCCCTCGAAGTTCGCCCATCTTGTGTGTGGAGGGAGTTTTGTCAATGTGAAGTCTGAAGAGATGTGTAGCCTAGAAGATAATCTGCTTTTCCAACAAGAACGTGCGATGAGCACAAGAGGCACCTGCTTCCCCGCGAAAGTTGTCGTCCGAACGTCCTTTGCGAACGTTTATAAAGACATGGACACAATTTGACAAAACAATCAGACAGTTCGTGATCGTACGCCAAGTATCAAGATCGACGTGTTTAGAACCACTTCCCCGGGAATCCACACGACACGGGGTAAAGCAAATCTGCGGGGGGTTTGGGGTTTCACTGCGGGAAGGAGGAGAAGTCCAATGCCGTCCGTCTGAGCCGTCAGCCATCTTGAGACCAATCGCGTCAAACTTTTTTCTGGCAACTGGCTTCATCGGACGGCTATTCAGATGTTGACACGCAAGCATGAGGTGTTTGCTTCCTGAATACCCGATGCTGGCAGAGTTTCTGCTGGTGAGACGCGTCGGCTACTGAAAGTTTGGACTTTTTGGTACGCATTGTGGCTTCATATTGACCTATCATCCGCGTCACGACTTGAAAGTCGGCAATCGCCAATGCTCAAAGAATTGAGAGTCGGCAATTGACAACACGAGATCTAGGTCAGCTGTTCACTGTTCGTTTGCCGATGCTCTCAATTACCTTGCAGTAGCCACCAAATAGTGTCCCGTATCCGTACTAGAAAAGGGCGCCTTTGCCATGCGATTTACGCGAGAGAAATACACACGATGGTGCGCCATGTTGTGTCTCCGCGATTTATGCTCCAGTTAACTGCCACCGATAGCGGCGGCAATTGAACTTCTCGGCTATTCAAGCTCGGCCTTCGATCCGCCGCCTTCCCCCAACCCCTCACTGAGAGCCCTCTCAATCGACTTTATGAACCAACTCATCTAAACCTTCGGATATCTACCTCTGTACCTAGGGAATACACCAGATATCCCAGTCCAAACACGAGCCGACGAGTACCTTTTAAACAGGAATAGCCCGTGCTTTGTTGCCTACCTATCATCAGTCACCAAGGTGCATACGAAGTTACGAACCGTCCGCAGGTCTGCAAGGGTCCAACTGTCAAGATGGTCCAGTACAGCATTAGAAGCACGGACAACACCACCCAAAGCCGCCTAGCTCTAGTAACAGGGGCGAGGTAAGTGGCCATCCCACCTTGACCCCTAGTGAGGCTGTCATCGTATGTTCCCGCTGACCAGATCATCTTCACCGACGATCAGTGGTGGCATAGGCTCATCTGTAGCCCATGCTCTTGCCGCAGAGGGCTGCGATGTCGCATTACACTATTCATCAAGCCAGGTACGGCATCACCGATGACAGATAGGGGGGGGCACGGGGAACCGTACGGGGCTGCGGCCCGTCGAGCCACCCTCGAACCACGGGCCTAATCTCTTCGGTATATTAACACTTCACAACAGGCCAAAGCAGATGCTCTAGCACAAGAGCTGCGTGATAAGTATCCATCACAGCTCTTCGTCCCCTTCCAGGCCGACCTCTCCTCCAGAGAATCGACCCGGAATCTGGTGCCCAGCATATTCGCCAACGGCGAGGTCGCACAGAAGCACAAGGCCGTCTCGGTGCTCGTCGCCAATGCCGGGCTCGGTCGCCGGATCCGTGACCCGGCGGACATTGGCGAGGATGACTGGGACGAGATGATGGAAGTCAACGCCCGCAGCCAGTTCGTCGTGACAAAGGCCTGCTTGCCCGGCATGCGCGCCCAGGGGTGGGGCCGTGTCGTTCTCGTGGGCAGCATCGCGAGCCGCGGTGGGGGAATCAACGGGTGCCACTATGCCGCTACCAAGGGTGCTCTTTGGTGAGTTTTCTAGGTGTTTTCTTCCTTTCTTCCTTTTGAGCTATGTCTATCCGCACTTGGCATACTCGCATATCTATCTTAATCACTTTCCCGGCGGGATGTCCCGGTTTTGGGAGGGGTTTTCGTTTACGGCGAGACCGAGAGATGGCGGCCGAAGCTTGTCTAACTCTAAGCCGCAGCTCAATGGGTCTTAATTTGGCCACGTTCTTGGCACCGGAGGGTGTTACTGTGAATATTGTAAGCCTCAAAATTTCTCTAGTTTTCGGGCCGAGGGCCTCGTGGAGTGTAGTCTGCTGTTTGAGCTGTGCTGACATTGCTTTTCAGGTTCTGCCCGCCATGATTGGGGCCACTGGCATGATTGCCACTCCGAAATCAACGTGAGCAGCAGAAACCCGTCATGGTATAGTCCCGACTTGACTTTAACTGACATGAGCGCCCTATAGAACCTGGGATAGTAAAGATGACCTTGAAGAGTTGAGGTCCACAGATCCGGGGCTGGCCATTGCCGCCAGCGTCCCGGTCCACAGATTAGGCGCTCCCGAGGAAGTGTCAAACGTTGTCGTAATGTAAGTTACCGAACTGACCGGCGGGAACTATTGTGGTGCTCTTTTTTTACAATTTGCTGACCCATGATCGCCGTCCGCCCCCAGGTTTGTCAAGACTGGCTACCTTACTGGCCAAGAGCTGGTCCTCGCCGGCGGGTTGAAATGAGTGCCGAACTAGAGGAGGAGACTCCGAGACCTTTTCTACCCACCAAGGTGAATTAGAGATTATTCGCCGAATGAAATGTTACTTTGTGGAAAGGAAAATGTAATCTTTTCTGCTTCGTCGCAGATGACGAGCGGGAGCTTTCATGTTCTTGGTGATCTCCACGCGATTGGACATGGATGTTGAGACCAACCTTGTAGAGAGTTCAACAGGGTCCAGAATCCTAAGCAGCTACTACGATACTAACTAGTACGGATAGTACAGATTACAGATTGCTGTCAAGTACTCCTTACCGTTTTTTTCTTGTCGCGCCGCCGTAAACTTAAACTTCAAGGGAAGAGGGGAATTTGGGACGAGCTAGCTCTCGATCGGTAATACCTGCGAGTTATACCCTACTCCTAAAAAGTATACATTGTGAAGTCTCTGTGGTCGCAAAACAGGGAGCGCGTAAACCTTCACCACCAAAAGGTGCGTCATGCATCGATTTTACGCCGACAATACCACCGCTAGACAAAAAACATTAAAACCCCCCCCCAACTATCGCCGAAACAACCCGCCACATTGCCGTACTTCCGTGAATGACGGACGACTAGCGCTGGATTGCCGTGCCGATGCTCTCTTTACCCCCTTTGCATCCGGGCTCTCACGCCTCCAGAGTCCCCAGAGTCCCCCCTCAGTTGTGCTCCACTCAGTCCAAACACCATCGGTCCATCACCAACCGCCGCGTTGGCCCGACATTCACCGCGCGCTGCCGCTGCCGCCGCCGCCCCCCTCACGCCCACACGCTTGGGCCGACGAAGAGAAACCGAGCACACCGAGTCGCCGACGTAATAATCGCAACACCATGTCTGTGGACACCGCTGCCGTCGCCCCCGTCACCGACCGCCGGCCTTCTACGACGATGGTCAGTCCCCCGCAGCACCACCGCCTGCCTCACGCGGTCACGGCTACTGGAAAAGAGAGGCGGGTATCGCGAGCTTGCGTCTCCTGCCGGCTCAGGAAGACGAGATGTGACTTGTGAGCAACTTCTTTACCAATAACCCCTTCTCACATGAGTTGTACCTATGAATACACATGTACACCAAAACCCCACGGCATACAGGCCGGGAATCGGGTAAAGACTTGAGTGATTGGTTGGAAACTCATGAGAAACGCCTGCCAAGGCCCAGCTCATCTTTGACTAACACCACATCGTTACCCCCTTGTGTAGAGATTACGGTGGTAACCCAGGCATACCACCCTGCCGTCGCTGTGTAAGAGAACAAAAAGAGTGCGTCTTAGCAACGTCGAGAAGAGGAGGTCGACGTCCCCGCAAGTTTGTCCGCTTACCACAGAGTGAGGGCGATACCGCAGCCTTCCCGCAACAGCAACAACAACAGCACTCGGATGCCGTCACAGGGCCGGCGGCCTACGACTCGGGACCCGGAGGTGGTGACGTCGGCACTTCCTCGGCGACGAACCTCCGAGAAGACCAGCATATGCACCACCACCGCTCCACCAGCCCGGGGGATTCTCGGCATCACAACGACGGTGACGAGCACTGGTCGTGCTCCCCCGAAGAGGACGACGACGGCCCGGCAGGAAGGCCGGCGAGTTGGCCCGGCTCCACTTCTCAGCCGGATAGCCCCGGCGGTCGGTCGACACGGTCCCTTAAGAGCTCCGGCGATATCGAGGGCCACATCACCTCAAGCGACTTGTTGAACCCTTCCGACGCGCTGAACCTCCTGGCGCAGGTTGCTGATCTCGATGGGGAGGAACGGCGTGACGATATGCGACATTTGTCTGTGAGCGATGCTACAGGCCGGGATAAGTGCAGTCCCAGGAAAAGGTCACGCAAGCCATCTACACCTGCGGCAACTCATTACCCGCCCATCTCAGATGGAGTGCTAAGTCTACCTGTCGCTTCACGTCTGCTCACACTGTAGGTCACCTCTCACTCACGAGATCCCCTCCAGGGTACCTTCGAAGTAGGGCTAATCACATCCAGATACATCGACCACTTCCACCCCTTCTTCCCCGTAGCAGACAAATGCATCCTCACCCACACCCCCGCCACAGTCTCCTCCCTCATCGACTCGGAACCCCACCTCGTCACCGCAATCTTCACGGTAGCCTCCAAAGACGAGCCCTCCATGTCCCGCGTCCACGAGGCCTGCTCCCGCTACATGGAGACCCTCATCTCCAAACTCATCTACAAGGGGTCCACCGCCGTCGGCGCCGTCGAAGCACTACTAATCCTCGCGCAGTGGGCGCCGCAGAGACTGCAGGAGAAGCCGACCATTGGGCGCGGCGAGGAAGACGAGGGCGCGTGGATGCAGATTGGCGTCGCGATACGGTTAGGGTACCTGCAGAGTTTAGAGCAGACGGGGTTGCTGTCGGATAAGACCAGCCCGTCATCGGAAACCTTTCGGAGGAAGAGGTTGGTTTGGGCTGGTAAGCCTTTCCTTGTAGACAAGTCATAACCGGGTCGTGCTGACGTTTTCGCGTTTGGTTCTTAGCCTGCTATATGAGCGACAGAGAAGTATCGATCCGCGTGGGCAAGGGCTTCTGGTCCCGCGGACCGGGGCCATCTACGATACCACGCTCTGCGGACTTCCCGTCCCTGAGGATACAGGAAGCCGGCACTGATAACCTCGGGCAGCTGTTTCAGGCTCAGCTCGAGTTGATACAGCTCTTCAGCAACGCTCATGACATACTATACTCATCGTCAAGTCATAGAGCTCAGCTGTACCTCGGTGGGGAGTACGTGAGGTACATAGTAAGTCGAGTCCTCCGTTTGTCTCTCCACTCGGAGAAGTCGTAGTTCATCTCTTTCGGGTGTCAACTCTCTTGACCTTCATCGGCTTACAACAATAGGACGACTCATTCGCAGTACTTCGGAAATGGAAGATCGTCTGGGGAAGTCTCAACTGTAAGTCTCTCGCAAACGCACCTTTGGACTCACGCTCCATCCACAAGCTCAACTGACCACTCAACTTCCAGTCACCCCATTGATAAAAGCAGGTCTCAACCTCTCCTACGAATTCCTCCGTCTCTACATCAACGCCTTCGCCTTCCAAGCAACAATCAACCGCGCAATAACCAAAGCCCGCCAACAACGGCAACAACACATCCAGCAAAACCAACAATACCAACAGAGCCAACAGAAAAAGTTCTCAAAATACCAGACTCGGCAGCACAACGGACACGAGACAACGACAGGTTCGCACGCGCCAGCAAGGCACCCGCCACCGCCGCCGCCAACGGCAACAATTAGCCCCCTCTTCGCAGACCTCGCCAGCACGCCCGACGCCCGCTTCATATACGAATCCATGGACGCCGCAAACTCGCTGCTCAACATCCTCAACTCTTCTGTAGATCCGGCTACCGGGTTGAGGTATATGCCGCTCAAATACTACCTCTACGTCATCTACGCGGCCGTGTTTCTGTTCAAGGTACGACGATCTCACTCAATGACATTCCCTCTATCCCCTCACACATCTTGCTAACTACCCCAAACAGGCTCGTCTTGCGGGTGCCCTTGGTAGCGAAGCCTCAGAAAGCGTCCGCCGCTCCATAAACGTCACAATCGAAGCCCTCCAACGCTCGTCCCTGAGTCCACACAGCCTAGGCCAGCGCTATGCACGGCTCTTATCCCTTCTTTGGAGGAGTAAACCAGAGGAACAACAGCAACGGAATCAACCTACCCGACAGTCCAATGTAAGCATCTCAGGTCCGGACGGTCACGCAGTCGATGCCACCAACGGCGGCGTGCCGTGCCCGGCGTTCGGCCTCCACAACGGAGCAGGTCCCGGGTCCGTATCAGTGCATGTACCAACTGTGCCGAGTTCAGCCAACGCCAATAACAATGGCTACGGAGGTCTTGGCGGCGGACATGCCGAGCATCATCACCAAGGCTTCGGGATGTCACACGGCCACGCGCACTCTAACATGGCTGCCTTTCCGCATCAGCCTGACCTTCTCGTCAGAGGTTTCTCATGGCGAGATCTAGATGACCTGGGGCAGTACATCGGGCCGGCAGACATGAACTTTTCTGATTCTGCCAACTTGGCGGTGATGGGCGGGCCGATCAACTTGGATGAAGGAGCAGGGTACGACGTTCTCTGGCCAGGGAACGATGTAGTATTCTAGCGTCCTTCCGACTTGAAGCTTCGTCACGATGGATATGGACTCCTCATGTGATGTTGGGAAAAGGGGTCAGGGTAATGTGGTAATTGGCTTAAGCGAGGGCACTCGCGTGGATACGGAAAAGGAAAGAGGTTTGCGGCGTTTGAAGGTAAGGTACTTGCTTGAGGTAATCAGACGAATCATCCTTGGGACCCTTTAGGCCGCGGATGGTATCAGCAATGGAGGAAGATCGCACGGAGGGGAATATTCAACTTCACTGTGCAAGTTCATGTCCTTGATCCTGCCTCAGTATTGCGTACTTATCTATGATAAGATACGAGTGAACTCATACATCTCTTCAGGAAGTGACACAGTGCACTCTTCAGCCCACCGTTCTACTGCGAGTGCTATAGTCCTGCAACCAACCTAAAATATAGACAAGCTGCCCTGAGCTTTCAGTAGTGCTGCATCGGGCATGATAGGAGACCGGTGGGGTTAAAGGCAAGGCCCCGGAACTTACATAAACAAGCACATACACGCTTCGGTCTTGTCAAGAAGGGACCGAGATTGAGGCGAGAAGAACCAGGGTCCCAAAGTGAGCCTTCAAAGGAACCTCTAAGAAAAGTACAAAGGATCTAGGAATTCAACATCATGCTACATAAACAGGATTCCCCCGCTGCACCACTACCTTTCACGCGTCTTTGTATATTCGAGCTCAATACGTAGCAGAGGGCTGACGACGATAGTTAATAAGGGGAGGTTTTTAATGATAAGGTATCTACCGCACATCCGTTCCCGAGTTCCTAAAGAAATTGACTGCTCTGGCTCCTCAATCACCGGCCATCTTCATCCTCTTCTCACTCTGCTTAGACCCATACTCACCATGGACAACAACAACAACAACAACAACAACAACAACAACAACAACAACAACAACAACAACAACAACAACAACCACAGCAATAAGAACAACTGCCGGTCTCAAGCCTGATGGTCGCGGTATCACATCTTTATAGAATCTTAAGCTGTTCTGTCTTTTCTTCAATTTCAGAATTCCACACGGGGATAAAAGAAATTTTCGGAAGGCAGGCACACTCCGAACCTGCCCAGCCGGAAAGAGCGCCGATGCGGCAAGCCTCTATAAAACCCCAAGGCGAGAGCACTTACGTCTTCGCTCGACCAAGTCTGTGTTTCCACAGGTTAAAGGACGCCATCGCAAGGTTGCCATCATTCTCTCAAACCACCAGGTAGCCAGCCGTAGGTACTAAACACCTAGGGCTCCCAGCCAGTAGCATATCTCGTCCTATTCTAAATCATATCCCAAAGCTTTACCCGTCACTAGGTACGCTTTCCCGTCTATTGTATATTTATTGTGAATACGAGATAGATGAGAGACCTTGCCTAATATCGGGATAATAATACCTCGCGTCTTGCGCTTGGGTTTTGTTTGTTGCGTCTTGCCCTACAGCATCCTAAGTCTGCGTTTCTCCACTGCCACTTCACCTTAGCTGAGGTCTACAACGTACCTAAGTCCTATGACCTATGCTCGTGAAAAGTCTATTTTAAAAAGTAGTGCTCCAGATGTCACTAGTTCCAGCTACCTTAGTCTATAGGACATGAACTTGCAGAACCTTTCTCTGAAGTTACTACCCAAACCCATTGGGAACCCACTGGTTCAAGAGGACGAACTTCCTGGCTTACTGGTGTGCTCCCGGAAACATCAAGCCATCGAAAACCGGCTCTTTTTATAAGGTAAGGTACATGCCACGCCTCAATGAAACCATATCAGCCCCTCGGAGGTGGAAGCCGCAGCGGCTCTCACGACCAACATTAGTACCTTAAAACATGAACCACTCAACCGCATTCCAAAACAAAAGGCTTCTGAAAACTCATCTTACAAGTCAAAAAGAAATAACCGTTGCTCAAAACCCTCGCGGATATCCTGGATGACCTCAACAATCTCCACTCCCTGCATTGTCACCACCATCCCGCCGGCACATCTCAACACCCATGCCAACCCATGCCAACCCCTCCGACCCCTCCGGGCCCCACCTCCCCGGACCCCGCAACCACCCGCCCCGACCACAATCGCATCCCGGTCCCTCCGCGCCGAGATTCTCGCCACCAAACACCATCACCCCCGATCCGTTTCCGCCGTCCAGCAGAAGGGCCTGAACAAAGTTCCAACGATTGCCCAAGCGTCCGCAGCTAAACAGACGCAAAATTCAAGAATAGAAACATTCAATCAAAAACGGTCATCTTCTAGCCGCCCCAAGCCACACCGGTGTCCCCGATCAACAACTCAACTCCCCAAATCACCCCATCAACGCCCGCATGTTTCACACTCTGCGCCGCGTCACAAAGACAACCCTCAACTCCAAAGACCGTGAAATAACCCCCAACAAAGAAATAACTCGGAGTATCGCAACCGATTTACGTACAACGAAAGAAAAAAGGACCCCTCCACCCCCCCCTTCCCAGTTTTCCCACGTGCCCGCCGTACTCCCCCTTCGAGAACCCGTTTCCTGCCTTTAGGAATGATCCTGTAAGTAAGGTAAAGGTATGGCACGTCAGAGGACCCTATCGTCCCCTGATCCCCGCCAAATTGCCAGCCATACACACGACTAGACCCGTCTTCCCACGCCGCGCCCAACACGGATCTCCTTTGACATGGACCCTCGACACCCTTCCAGAACACCCCTCCAGAGAGTCCGAGAGCGCCACCTTTTTGTCAGGAACAGCCAGGATAAGCAAGCAAGCCTTACAAATACCATCGCGGCTAAACTCATAGCATCGTCTCCATGAACGGGGTATTTGTTATTTCTGGTATTGCTAACATCGAGGCTCAAACCCCTCAAGCCAGGTAAAGAAGTATGAAGTAAACCCAAGCTAAATGAGAAAAAGACAGCATCGTGTCCCAAAAGCAAAAGTTGAGCATGGCTGTGGTGCAAAACACAGCCGAGTCTGTTAAAAGTAGGTATACAAGTAGAAAAAAAAAAAGTACGAAGTCCAAGAAGAATTGGTTCCCCATGATATATACAAACACCGACGCTATCCCCATAGAAAGAAAGAAACTGCCATTCGCCTCTAAAATGATTTCTTTGTTCAGTTCATGAGCTCAAATCTAAAACGTAACTGAGTAAGCCAGGACGTCAAACGTCCTCGAGCCGGGGGTGAAGCTTCATGCCCCCCTCCTAACCCTACTTGCGAGTGCAAAATGCTCGCCTTGAACATAATAAAGAAAAGGGGAAACCAATGGATGGGTAGTACCCAACAACCAAGAAGCAAGTCATCATGTGCATGCCAGGTTATCGCGTATGCCCACCGTCCGTCCAGCAACCAACCGTCCGTCCGTCCGTCCCGACCTACTCATACAACCAGGCACCAAATACCGTAACCAAACCCATTTCCTTTCCCTGTGTCCCATCGTTATTGCCAAAGGGGGGTATCACGGAGAGAACGCCTCTCTAATATCATTAAACCTCTGCGCCCAGTACCTCTTCGCGGAAGCGCACACCACCGTTGACCTGGATCGCTCCCTTGACCCATTCATTGTCTGCCACCTTCTCCAGTACCCATCGGCTCCTTGCGCGCTGCAACAGGCCTTCGGTGATTTCCATGGCGCCGAGTAGACCGCGCTCCTTGAATTTGGCTTCGTCGCCTTCGTGGTCGCCATCCTGGCCAGCATAGTCAATCCAGCGCCACTCCGCGCGTGCTATGCGGTGACTGGTGCGGCTGCGCATGCGGTGGCCGTCCATCGTGTTGGGATAAGGGTCGAATGGCAGGCGAGCCTCAAGAAGGGCGTAGAGCAAGACACCCAGAGACCACGCGTCAGTGGCGCGGCCGTCGTAGGGAAGTCCCATGATAACCTCGGGGGCGGCATAATCCTCTGAGCCACATCTTGTCTCGAGCTTCTCGTCGTCGGTAATGCGGCGGGAAAGACCGAGATCGGTCAGGGTAATAACTGAGTGCGGGTAAGTCGTCCAGTCAATCGAAGGGTCCGCGAGCTCGGGTGCCGTCAAGTTCACGAGTACGTCTGTGAGTAGTCAGCAAGCTGTGGCTCTTCATTACCAAGAGGAATACCCACTCTCGAGCTTGATATCCCTGTGGACGATCCTGCGCTCATGCAGGTACCGCACAGCGCCCACCAACTCAGCAAACATCCTTCGCAATAAGGCTGGCTTGAGAAGTTGGCGATGGCCTGTAGCCACATCGAACAGATCGCCCCCAGGGCAGTGGCTGAGGACCAAGATGGCCCGGCTTGGCTCAATGTTCCACGCCTTTAGGTGTACCAGGGAAGGGTGACTGATGGTCTGCATGATCTCGAGTTCGCGCTTGAGTGACATTTCAATCCTCTCCTCGCTCGCTCCTCCTCGAGGGCCGTGTTCGCAGACCTTCACTGCAACAAGAGTCTTCCTAAACGACGGCGACATTTTGGATATCGGGGTGAGGCTGTTGTCGGCTCGTAGTAGTTCGCTTCCGTCGTCCATTCGGCTCGTTGCCAGCATCACTCGACTGAACGTTCCCTGACCCAGAGTCTTGATTGCCCTCCATCTTCTCTTCTTTCGGTCGCGGCCGTAGGCTTCGAAGTACTCGGGTATCGCGGGTTTCGGTTTGCCGATCGCCATTTCGGTCGAGTCTCTTGATGATTCGCTAGGTGGCGGGGTTGGTGGTTGTACAATCGCCGGTGTCAGGCCTCTTGATTCTGCAAGATTGGCCTCCCGGCGCATGTGCGGCTCAAGGCCAGAGTCGGGTCCGTTTGTCGGCTTCGTGTGGGAGCCCGAGACGGTAATGTGTCGCTTGGGAACGTAGTTTGGGTCGGGGATGTACTCGCTGATGCTTCGATTCCGCGCGTGTTCGGCCTTACCATTCACTGGCCCCTTTGCACCCGCGCCGTCAGAGCCCTCGGCCACCAGGCCAGCATAGACTTTACGTTTCGAGGCGTTGGCCAAGGCAGCCGCTATTGATTCGCCGGTAGACGAGACTAGGACGGAATCTGGGGCTGGGTTTTGCATTTGATCCCTCGAAGGCGGGCGCATACCAAGACGTCTCCAGGGGCCGGGTGAGTCTCCAGATAACAAAGGTGAAGGCAGCGGGGTGACGTCGCTCATAGCCGAGAGAATCGGACTGGGCATGCACGAGCTTGTAGCCGAGGCGGGACCCAGGCTGTTGGCGATGGCGGCTTTGAAGCTCGGGGTACGGGACATCGGTTTGAGATTTGAGGACGAGGTTTTATGCTGGAGGGCGTTGCTTGGGCGGCGCGGGGTCGAAAGGGCGTCGTTTGAGTGAATGTCGGTTCGTGTGGGGAGGTTGGGATGAAAGTCTGACGTCTGGATTCGGAGTGAATTGCTGGCGGCAAGTGGACTGGGGCCGGGTCTCTGACTCGAGGGAGGCTCCAGTTGCTGAAAGGAGGATTCGGACAAGGGCGGCGAAGGTGCTATTGTGTGTGTTTGGAACTGAATTTGAGGGTTTGACACGTAAGGGAAAGAGCAGACTGCATTGTGGGTGTTTGTATCTGAGGCGAAGGGACCGGAACTCCCATCAACCTTGTTCTGGTTTTGGGTTTGTAGAGGCATGGACTGGGGTGGACCGTTTGACATGATTATATGCAACGTGTGGACGATGTGGGTACGGACGGTCGTGCGTATCGGTATCGTAGAGAAGCGTTGCTGGCGGGGGAGATGGACCGGCGCGAGGTTATCAATGGGAGGGTGGCGACCGGTCTGCGATTCGTAGGACGTAGGACGTAGACGGGACGGGATGAGCTGGCTACACACGGCGCCCACAGAACCGGGCCAACGTCAGTTACCACCGTTCTTTTTCTTTTTTCTGTTTCTTTTCGTCTTCCGTTTGGTCTTGGAGTAATACAAGAAGTAGATTGTGGTCCGTGGGGGGTGTTCGAGAAGAAGTCGAGTTGGGAAGAAGATGGGGACGAACTCACCCGTTAGTCCGGTCTTTCTACGCAGTATATATCTCTCTCGCTCTCTATGATGCAGTTGAGAAACCTGAGCAGTTCAAGCACTCGTTTTTCCTGGGATGCGATTGACTCGGATCCTCGCTGTGCAGCATACACAGGCAGGGAAGAAGGGGGGGAAACGAGGGATTGGAGCCTTTGGCAATGGCCGCAGGCAAAGAATGGCGGAGTAGGAAGAACACAAGAGAGCGGGAAAGGGAGTGGGAGCCGCAGAGAGAAGAGAGGTTAGGGTAAATGAAGGGAACAGAAGGGGCAGAAACAACGGCGATGGGCGGAAGGGGGGGCTATGACGAGAACATGGGGGAGGCTCGGTTGGGCTATGCTGAGGGAAGTGCAGCAGCAGCAGCAGCAGCAAAAAGGGATACTGCCGCGCAACAGTGACAAGCACTTTTGGGGGGTTGCAGAAGCAGAACGCGAAGCGTCAAGCAAGTCTGAGGCGCAAACGCAACGCAACGTCCCAGTAGGTATCTTATGTCAGGGTCGACTCCGAGTTGAGGTGCCCCGGGATGCCGTGTGAGAGCAAGTGCGTGTATTCGTGTGATGTGTGTGTGTGTGTGTGTGTGTGCGTGTGTGTGCGTGTGCGTGTGTGTATGTGTGTGCCAGTGCCAATTCCAGGTCGGAAGGGAAGGGATGATAGAAAATGGTCCAGGGAGCATGAGAAACGAAAAAAAGGGAAAGGAAGAAAAAAAGGGTGGGAAAATGCGGTGCAGCGCGCAAACCAAAGTGATCAATGCCAGTCAGTGACAGGGAGAACCGAGCGGGCAAGAAGGAACCAAGAGTGCGGCGCGATGCGGTGCCAAAAGCCCAGGTGCCCAGCAAAGTGCAGGTGCGACTGGACTGGCGACTGGACTGGACGCCAAAAAGGTGGAGGAAGAACGGAGACGGCAGGGTCAGACATGCCACGGGAGCCGTTCGAAACGGAGCCAGTCACGGCAAACGGACTAGTGCCGAAGGAAGGACGGGGCACGGCCGCACGTCAAACGTTTGATTGGTTCCATTCAGATCCCCGAACCAGAGTCACCTTGAGCGGGAGCTCAAAGTACGAGGTCTGACTAAGCCAGCTACGCTACAAGGTCAGATCCATTCTTTCTTGATGTTGAACGCCCCGAGGCTTACAAAACTCGAATCCTGAAAAGAAGGCATCGTGTTCACCAAAAATCTAGAAACTGATTGCCGCCCGTTTCTCAGCCCGAGGCAAGAGAGAGAAAAGTACTCTGCGTGCCGATCTCATCTTGGCTTTTCCCTACCTTCCTGTACCAGACCCTGTCTGCAGTATCCGCGTGCAGTGTGCAGATGTCCAGCCAGGGGCGTCAGTACGGTACGTGTGTGTCAATGCACGGCTGTCGGCCTGGTCTGGCACCCCTCCGTCTCCGGTCCGTATTCACCGGGCTAGGTAGGTATTCTCTTTCGTCTCCTCCCAAGGTCTACGAAGTACGGTCTACGGATGCCTTACTTGGTATTCATAACGGATTGAATACCACTGTGGATCCCGCCCACTCTCATTCACTCATCAGAGTCATCACACTCGTGACTTTATTGATTTGCAGAAACCCTCTTTTCATCACATTCCCTGGCCCATCTCCATCCTTGCTTTTCGTCTTCTTGCCCATGCTCCCTTTGCTGCAAGATTAGACGCATATATTCCGTGATTCCCTGGAGGCTGGCAGATTGGGCTGATAGTCTGCATGTACCTATCTTAAGGCAATGAATGTCCTCAAGGTACGGATATCCGTACCTGCCTTATCTTGCCGCGGCAGAGGAGCAAGGGGGAAAACAAAGAACGGCATTGGTTCCACAATTACCCGGCCGGGCGATGAATCAGTTTTGCAAACACAAGCTTCAACTTCCTCACCTTACACCGAGGGGGCACCTTTCCGTACAAAGGAAACTGAAATTCCAACGTTGGTTGCCACTGCAACTCAACCGTTCGTCCCTCTTTCATCGACTATCCGTCGTTGGCCTGGCCCCAAAACAGCCAGCCAACCGTCGCCTCACCGGTCTGACGCTAAGCTACTCATTCTTCGCCAGCACTCATCTCCGTGCACGAGTTTTGGTTTCGGTGCCTCGTGGCCGTCGTCGTCACGTCTGTCCGGAGCCAGCCCAGGTGCGGAATGGCTGGTGCCAGGGCGACTGGTGACGGGTGACAATGGGCGGCACAGCGCGAGCAAATGGGTCGAGTCTGTCGTCCAAATCTACGAATAGATTTGACTCTCACTCGACTGGCCCGGCTGCCCCCATGATTGTGTCCAGTCCAAAATGGCCCGTCTGACGGTAATACGGCATTCTGCAAACCTCTAACCCTCCGGTCCTTGGCAGTCGGAGAGGCATGCAGTCATGAGCCATGAATATCAGAATATGTCAGCCAGTGCCGTACGGCCACAGCACTTTGTAGAGTCATAGACTGCAAACAACTGCAATGCCAAGTAAAGCTGGGCGAGTCCGCGTCTGGAGACAAGTGTAGATGCGCTGTCGCCAAATGCTGTCGACTTGCGGTCTCGAGGCCAAAGATGGCAGACAGAGAATCCACTCCATCCGTCCTGGAGGATACCCAATGCACCTGCGTTTGAGATCGTCCAACCTGTCAACTTCGTAAAATCAGCTGACCGCAGGCCAAAATCTTTGCAGAAACGAAGAAGCAAACCAAATACTGCGACACCTTCGCGTTCGTTGGTATCCATACAACGACTTCTCAAATCTCATGTCCTCCAAACACCCATGTGCGCACCCCCAGGAAGTGATGTGCCCCTCGGATATTACGTTACAGTGCATGTCCCTCTGTTTTCCAGGTACACAGTGAGACAACGGGCTACAGCCCGTGACAGGTACCGCCAGTGTCCGCTATCCATGTGGACGGGCAACGGAGCAGGGAGGGTATGGGGGCTCGCCTAGGCCATGGTCCATGGCATCAAATCCAAGGGCGTACAACCTCATAGGGCGACCGGTCCCAGTTGGGGATCAGAGCAGACGACTTGAAAATTGGCCTCGCCCAGAGCTGCTCCCGTTTAAGCTGCTTTTGGATAGCGGTGGGCATTAGAAGTTCCCACCGTGGCACCGTCTAGCTCGGAACTGGGTCCAGCGTCCCGTTTATTGACTTTCAAATCTCTATCCGGGCCATGCTACACCGGCTGACTGGTTGGGCCTGGTATGCTGTTCCTAGCCTGTATCCCGTCCGCGATGGATCCGTCTTTTGTTGGTCTCTTGGATAATTGCGTATTCGTAGGCCTTGCTCTTAATTAACTTGACAAAGTCAGCGGAACACCGACGCGACAAAACCGTCGCCCACCAGAAATGGCTAGAAAGAGACCAACACACCTTGCTTGCAGCCTCTGTTTGGCTACACGCATGAGCTACTCACCTACTGCAGTCGGCTTGCAGTGTGTATGTCCATGTATGTGCCATGCACCTGCAGCTACCGGCGTCTGACAAAATGAGCGAATCCGGCCAAGGGCGCATTCGGCAAGCGATAATGGCAATCCGCGACAATTCGCGTCCTCGACTGGTCACGGAGTGATATTATCGACACCGTTCGTGATATTCAATTGATGGCTGACCCAAGTCCGCTCGTAGGATGGAATTGAGTTCAACCAACTTGTGCAAGGTCAGTTGCTCGAGATCGTCGCGATCACTAGGGCCGCACTAGGCAAGCATATCATGAATAATGTCGTCTTTGAACTATGCGTATAGGCCATGCCGGCAGCGTCTCGAGGCTACGAAGCGGTAGCGCTGGTGTGCCGGTGTGCCGGTGTGCCGGCTCCCACCCTCGACTCTCTTCTAGACGGCTGCAGGCATAGGCTGTGTGAGAGAGTCTGTCGGCCCAAAAATGAAGGTGCTCCTTGGCATGAGAGCTTCCTGCATGAAGTCTGCATTCATCCAAAATTCAGAGAGGGTATCCGTAGACCACAGGAGAGTACCATGTCTGACAGTCCCTTCTGGTGCACATGACAACTCATCGCTAGTCACCACCGAGTCATTCATACATGGTCGCCGATATTTGTTGTCAATGCTTCCTTGTGTTTGACTTTCACCAGCGCAAATAACGGATATGAAAGAGACAGGTCGCTGCAGGTCAAAGATCTTATCTCTCCCTCGGCGATCTTTGCCTGTCGAGTCCGTCGGATATCAATTACTTGGTCCGTAGTGACGTCCTCCGTTTTGCGACGTTGACGCAACGGTCGACGGATAGGAGACGGCGCTCTAAAAGCCATTCGGTCTGCGAAACGGGCCCTTAGTAGGTCAATACTGCACAGTCAAGACTAGAATGTGACAGGATACTCACGCTTGGTTCAGCCAGACACTCCGTCAACACTACCCGCATATCCATATCTTGAATCACAGTCGCCCACAAGCGCCCCTCCCCCCCCCCCCCCCCCAGGTTCCTTTCCGTTCCGCTTTCGCTGCACGTTCGCCTTGGGCAGCGTCGATTGGCCGCTTGTGCCCACGATGGACTGGGAGTGCAACCTATTGGTGCATTCCTCCTAGATCGCTCCAATGCCTCAAGATTTGGTGGAGGTCCAAAGCCTCTAGGAGTATCCGGTATGGACTAGATGCATGATGACGTGCGTAGCGGTCGCGACGGTTCCATTTCGCTGGCAGTCTCTTGGGCCATTGTTCATCAACCAAGGGAGGTCGAAGGTGATGCAGGGGACGGTAAGGCGGAGGTCTGTTGACCGGACCGCCCGAGATCTTCCGTCCGAAACGGCACCGATGTTCGGAGAGGATCGCCGGTGATGCGGCCGGGAACACAATGGAGAATAGAGGCAGATGGTCTTTAATTGGATTATCGCGAGTATGGTGTTTTTTTTGGTGATGGCTTCGCAAGCATTGTCGTCACTCAAATGCGTAAGAGTCATGGTTGACGATGACTGCAGTCCAAGGCAGCAAGCCGCCGCTGCTGCTTCCTCTTTGCGTTGTGAGACTCGACAAAAGAAGGTCCACGTCTACGGCGCCTGGGAAGGTGCCTGCCTAGGTACCTACTTACACACACGCTGTTGACTGGAGTTCCTGTCTTGTGTACCTGCTGACCTACCACCCATCCTGCCCCTACTTCTTGCCCTCCTCCACCGTCATGTCTCCTTCTTTCCTTTCCTGTCCAAGTGGCGCTTTCCCTGGAGACACTAAGCCCTCTTACTGGTGCAATGGAATGTTGTTTGGTGTTCTTCCTAATTCTCATGAACAGGTAATCAGATGAGGTAGAAGAAGTTCAGGTAAGGTAAGGTAGGTAGTGAGAAAGTAGCTAGGCTACCATCAAACCATCCTCAACTCCAACTCTTTCAATATGTGGTAAGGTAAGAAAAGGGCGGGTGGGCAGGAAGGCAGGCAGACATGCACTAGACAGTAACGGCGTATTGGGAATAGCACGACAAGGCGAACGAAAAGAGAATGATATGTTTATTACGTGTGTGGAATTTAGGCATCGTGTATTTTCCTCCATGTCATTGCCTGGGCGTAAACGCGTCTTGCTCCTCTAATTGGTATCTTCCGCCTTGGTTTTCTTTGGCCACAACACCTCGAGTTCTCAACAACCTTCTGATTGTCGTCACATCTCTTACATCCATGATGGCGGCTTTCTTGGATAAAGCCGCCCGTGTCTTCTTCCTCCTTTTCATTATTCCCAAGCTTCACCAGTGGTACTCTTCTCCTGCCAGTATAATTGGAGAATGGTCGGCTCTTTCCTTGTTGATAGGTTCAACCTCCTCCCGCCGGATCCCTCTATCAAGCTCCATGGTCCGAGCCTCAAGTACCTAAGGTACCCTTTGTTGAGGCAATACGACGCAAGTTAGTTGGTTCCTTCTCTCCTGTATTCTCTCTGCTCCTCGCCCTCTGGTGCTTCTCATGTCCACCGGGGATGGCGGCGAAACTCATCATGACCACGACATTAGTGTGCTAATGTTCCCTAGAAGAACTCGACACATTTCGTGGCTCTTGTTCCGACACTACGCCTCTTCGGCCTGCGAAGGCTTGCTTCATCTACCGGGAAAATCTCGCCCGACCTTCTGAGGATATGCTACAGAGTCGACGTGTTTCGAAATCCGGAGCCGCCCTCAGCAGAGAATGAACAGGTTCAACTCGTGTCGCCAGCTGCCGCAGAACCACGTTCCAGTAAACTTGAGCAAGGTGCCAATCATTCGTCGGCAGTATTCTGGTAGCCCATGCTCGCAAAAGGCCACAGTGATGCCCAGCTTCGTTGAGCGGCGTATTACCTGCTGTTGGCCCCGACAGAGTCTGCTTCTCCAATGGCCACTTTGGTTGGTTCATGCAACACTCAACAAGGTGGTCAAGTTTGCCGAATGCCGCCATCATGTCTGTAAAGATATCCAACCTCAGGGTCGATCAAATGGTCCCCTGGATGCGGTGGGTACTCTGTCGATAAGACTGTGGGAGACCCTGACTGAGACGTATTGGTCCATTCCAGTGCGCCCGCGGGAATACCGACGAACGATGAAGGGGACGTCTTGTCGATCCACCCGAAGGAAGGTAGCTCGAGCCAGGCTGGTGTTTCTCCTTCGCCGTCGTCACACTTCCATAACCATTCTGGCAGATCCTCGAGATCGTTCGTCCCATCGCTGTCGTCTTCGTACTCTTCAGTGAAGCCTTTCGATATCGATGCCGACTTCTCTGCAAATGCTGCTAGGCGATCCATGCGGTATCGGTGTACTCGGTCCGCCTTGGCCGTCTTGTCTGTTTCTTGGAGCAGCTTCTCCAAGTTGGCCAATGCCGTCATGGAAATCCGTTCGTCTGCATCCGACGTTAGGGCAATGCGAGCTGCCGACTTGAAATACGTAATCGCTGCCGAAACGCTGCCCATCCGATAGTACTTCACCCCAAGCTCGAGATTGACGGCGGCTTCCTGCTCATCTGTCATGCTGTACGCGTTCATATGAGCTGTCAGCACCTCGACAGCCTCGTCCAGTCGGCCCTGCTTTTCTTTGCAAGCTGCGAGTAGACCAGCGTGCGACAGAGCCATATCACCAAGCCACGAGTGGTCTTGCCCTGAGGCCTCAGCTCGAGCCCGGTGGCGGCTGAGCATTGCCTCGCAATCCTCCGGATCTTGTCGAGCAAAGATACAATCGAGATAGTCGCTGTATAGTAGGTGCGTCAAGTAGTTGGCCGAGCCCACCCGCTGCTCGATGCCTGGAAGTAGCAGCGCATATAACCGCATGGACAGCTCATAGTAGTCGGAAAATTCGGTCGCGCCCAGTCTACGCCAGATATGGGCGAGGATATGATGAGGCCCAAGCACAATCGGTATAAGCCCGGCCAAATAATCGAGAACCAGTCGAAGAAGATCATGCTTGTGGTGGCGCTCCAGATACCAGAGCAGGCAGACCGTTCGAGCAACAAAGTCTGGACTTTCGGCAGCTACAATTTCTTTCAGAGATTCGAAGGCCGGGCCAAGGACACTGTTGATATTGATCTGGTCTCCTCGTATCATGCATCGGTTAACCAAAGCAAAGCTAGCTATGACTCTCTCGAATAAGTCATTACTACGGTCTCCGGGGTTGAAACGAGTGTTGGAGCAGTCGACATCGAAATCGCACCACCAAGCTCCAGACGAAAAGGATCCATCGATATAATCTCGAAACAGGCAGAGAACCTGCTCGGTACTTTGCATCTCCATCGTCGGTGCCAAGGCTATCGCTGGACTTGGAGGCGGCGAAGGAGTTCGGCAAGTCACCTCAAGTGCCGTTTGCACGCTGGGCGTCTGTCCTGCCCTGAACTTGGCCATCAACGACGGGTTCCGCTTGAGATACCGGTTGATGTTCTCCAAATCGACTGGCTGTCCGCGGATTCTGAACTCAGTCGGTCTCTTCAGGAGGTCCCGGTCCCGCTTAAGAAGCATGATTGCCAGAACCTCGTCACCTTTGAGTTTCTTGTCAAGGCCCCATTTCCAGATTCTCGACTTGTACATTTTGACGCTACTATTCTTCAGCAATCGATATGCTCAAAATACGGAAAGATGGGCTTACGTTGCAGCAAAATGGTAGTCGCGCTGCATGATCTCCATGACCTCCTTCAACGACTTCTTCTCTTCTTGATACAGCCGGGTGATAATCGGTCGCTTCGTCTCCCATATTTCGGTGGGCACGCGCTTACGCGGCTTTGCTGACTGCCCAGAGCTTGTCACTTCGTCAGCTTCGGAGTCAGTTGATGTTTTCCGCTTCGGCGGGACGGCTAGACTGGAAGCTTTCATGGCGCTGGCTATGTCGGAATCTCGACTTGGCAAATACAACGAACGTATGGTATCAACGTCGGATCATATAAGATGCTTTCGTATCGGCGAATCTTCACTTTCACCGTCATGAGACAATTTCTCGCGAGAACGCGGGGAATCAGATGGATATGTTATTTGAAAGCAGGAAAAAAGGGGACTCAACCGGTAAGCAAACGAACCGCTAAGCCCGGTAAGGCCCTGTCTTCCCGCCCCCATACCAGCACGACCGGCCTACTGGTGGCATTGGACCCAATGTCACCCATCGCCTTACAGGGGAGGTGTAAGTGGATAAGGTGCAGGGGGCTGAGGGCAAGGTGCAGCAGAAGATCAGCAGTCAGTATTATCCGCAACGGTCAGATGCCAGCATGAGGCGGGCCAGTAACCCTATGTCAGACAGAAGTATTGTGACGACGGCGCGATGAGTCGACGGCCATCGAGCTGCCAGTCGTGCCACTGCCACCATCAGGTGGAGTCGCCCTCTGACAGCCTCCGGCAGCCACGTCTGAAGGACGACGGTTCAGAGTAAGTTTGGACAGGACTGAGATCATCGCTACCAAATGAGTTACAAACTGACCTCCCTTCAGTCCTCCATCTCTATGCGCACCACCCAGCGTATTCGGTTGCCTGATAGGGGCTCGAAACAAGATGAGGGGGCTCCGAATTCGACTGCCTGTCTGGGGTGGGGATCCGCCATGGTACTCAACCACGATTACCGCTTCAACGCTGTAGCTATTCCTCGACAAGAGAAGTCCTCTGCGTCCCGACCGCAAATTCCCATCAAGAGCCGAAGCAAGACGAGATGAAGAAGAGAGAAACTCTGAATAGAGTGAGGCATAGGCCCGCTTTGTCCGAGCTTGTGGGGAACGGGTCGGGTATCATCAGCACATGGCCATTGCTTCCAGGCCAGGGCCCAGGGCTAGAGCCCAGGGAGCCAACACTCCAACGACACGGACGCCAGAACGAAGAGACTGCTCGAGGTTGCAGTATGTCGCGTTGAGACGAATGACTAGACTTCTTCGGGAATATGAAACTTGGGAGTCTACTGGTCCAGGGTGCGGCGTGGAAACTCGTCTAGTAGACCAGTTGATTGGCGACGTTACGGATTGCCCATTGGAGAGAGGCGCGAGCAAAAGCTGCAACATTTGTCGCGCGGCCGCCGCAGAGTGCCAGGGCCCAGAGCCCCCATGAAGGTCCCATCAAAAACGGGTCTTCTTTATTGCTCCATCCAGAGACCGAGAGACCTCCACGGTACGGATACACTACGGTTTTCTCCTCAAGCCAGTCAGTCGGGTCGACACGCCGATTATCCCGGGCCTGCCTGCGGTATTGTAGCCGGAGGGCGTGGGGCATATTCAATGGCGGCCCCGTAGGCCACGGGGCTTGTCTTGTCTCCCTCCATTCTCCTGTGCAGAGAGCAGGGGTGAAGGAGACATCAAAGCAAGGTACTCATCAAGATCATGGATTCATGGATGGCAACCCAAATCCGTCGAATCACCACCCTGATTGTCACAAGGCGCATCTCCCGTCAACCACCAATTACGCAGGCCAACTTCTCGGTGTCCAAGCCTCAGCCCTCAAGCCGTCTGCACCCCGAGGGGCATGGTGGAAGAGAAGGATGGCAGCCGTCTTCTCCTTCGAGATTTCCTTCCGTGATGGTTAGACTTATACGGAGCCAACATCGTACCCCGGCAACTTGTTGTGGATCCCACTACTCAATACGTCGCATGGACCACCAAGAAAAGTGGCAAGTTTCCATCGCCCTGGTTCGTGGGCAGAGGGGTGTCCGGCAGGGAATGAGACGTGATCATGTCATCCGAGATGATGCCCAGCACAGACGCGGGAAGCAGAACCACCAGCCGACGACATCGGACGGCCCGCAACCTCGTTTTCACGGCCTGGGGGTTCAGCTGCTGCCTGCACATGTTTCCCCCATTGTTCGAATAGAAGCCAATCCACCGGATGGCGGGTTTGGCGGAATGTATCTTCAGGCTCCAGAATTCTATCGAGCGCGTGCAATTCCTCGAGCAAACATCATTCGGGGCTGCCTGGAGTCTCACATCTCCATAACCCACGCTCCGAGATGAGCCTAACCTTGATCCGCGGCTATACACCAATCCTCTGTTAATCGGCCTGGTGGAGCACGGGCGGCCGCTCTTGGTGCCGCTCGGTATCTAATCGACGAATAGCCAGATCTAACCGTCCTTGATTGCAGTGACATTCCGCGATTCTGGCCCTCATTCAAAGCCAATGTTCAGTCACACGTCGGGTCGCTTAAGACCTCAATCGTATTCGACTTGCGGTGGAATCGCTCGACTGCCGATTATACGATAAGTGGTCAATCCAAAAGAGTCTGAAAAGAAGACATCGAGACCGCAGGGATGATAACCCTTGTCGTCGGTGTCACCCGGTGAGAGGTGAAGCCTCGAGGTGACGAGTATGGCGCATGACTGACTCCGTCCTCAACTGGCTGTCACACTGCTTGCAAATAGATCGAATGGCACTCGGCGCCGATCATCTTTACGGCCGATCTAGACTGATGCCGTATGTCCACGGAGAACCCAAGCAGATCCTTCACAGATGATCTGGATTCGCGAGAGAACTTTGGGATCAAGTCAAGTTTCAGCCCTATGCTGATGCAAGTCGACGAGAGCGTGTGGATACGACGTCTCAAAGTACCTTTGACTCAACCAGTGTTCGATTTCCAAATTGAATCGTGATGCTGGATGCACTCAATTTCGCGCTGCAGAGCTATCGGTTTTAGACCCATTGTGGCTCCGGACATATGGCCTACACGATGTTGCATTGAGGCCATTCAGAACTTCAATGGTCAACTCTAGCAGTTCTGTCGCGGTTGAGCGAATCACAGTTGTCAGCATGCATATGCTGGCAGCTATGCTTACTGGTGACTCCCCCCGGTTACTGCAAGGCACATGATCTGGCACGATGGGACTTTGGTTCAGTTGCAATAGCTCCAACGTTGACGGTTTGCTGGGCACCGGGCACAACCAGACGTTTTAATCGTCCATCTTCTTCGCAACTTCGCCACACGTATCCCACCCAGAATGGGTTTGTTTGCCAAATGAAAGAGTCAGTAGCTGCAAAAGTCCTTCCTGGGAAGTGGCATAGGTCTGGTTGAGAAACGGGTCCGGCCAGGCAGTCTTCCTACTGTGCCCGGCACGTCCCCGTTGCCTGCCTTGAGTCGACCGGGGGGTGTGGGCTGAAACCGAGAACAACGACATCAACTGACGGCTCTGCCTAACTTAGGGCCAAGTTTTCCAAAGTCATTAGAGTTGCTATGGAAGCTCCAGTCTATCGTTTTCTTGTACACCTCTTCGAAACTTCGCCGCGCAGGGCTGGTTCTTCAACTTTCCAAAGTCCCTCCGCCATTGACCTGGCTTTGTCTTTCACGACCGGCGGTGGGAAGAACTTCCCCTTCTACCTATCTATTCTGGAAGATATAAACCTCGTGGGAGACTGCCTTCAGAATGAGCCAGCAAGACCAGCAATCCTCTCGAAACGCATTGAGTTACTCTTCAACTCATCAAGCATCGTCCACCCAGTCATCGTATACACACCAAGACACAAGCGAGCTTCTACGCAAGCTCCAAGAAACCACAGTATTTCCAGGCTCAAACCATGACTGAAGGGTTTGACTGACACAGAGGAACTGAACTAGATCGCGGCTTTGAGGACATCGAACAACACCATGGACTCCAACGGCGGCAGCAGCTCGAAGGGTACCTCGCCCGATGACAAAGGCAAAGGCTACGACCAGTATGCCATCTTCGACGGCCTTCTCCCTCGGATAGAGACCAGAGGACAGAGCAAGAACTCGTCGAAGAAAAGCAGCGGCAAGAAGAAAGAAAGCAAGGGCTCGAGTCAACAGTATGTTTCCACGGCGGACAGCCAACAAGCGGGTGCTAATGGACCGAGTCACAGTTGAAGAAGTCCCGGCTCGATCATACACGATCAAGTACTGTCGACCGGGGACGCGCTCGCTGTCCTCGCGGTGTCCTTCTTTCACCATTCGATATCGTTACCATCGTGGTGTGCAAACTGTTGCCGGCCCACCCTACTTGAGCTCGTCGTGGCTTTAGTCCTCAGAAGCGGCCGACGAAATTGCAAAGCAAATTCTGTCATGAACTGTGGACTGAACAATCGGCCTCGACTCGTCAGTCCTTGATGCCTCGCAAGCACTTCGGCGGCAAGAGGCGGGTGCTGTGCTGGAAGCCTGGAAAAGCTCTCAGTTGGTTCGGAGAGTCTTCCGGGCTCTGTGTGGGGCCGATGAGATTTCCATTTACGACGGCGTAACATGACGTCGGAGGACGTTTGGGTTGAGGCATGGGGTTTCTATATGGGCAATGCATTTGTTGGATTTCATTTCTTTCATTTACTCCGGGCTTTTTGTCAAGATCTCCAATACTGATACAATCTCTCACTACTATCTGTGAATCTGCACTGCACGTCATTTATGTTATTAACAAAAGTTCAGCATTCCAAAGCAGAAGAGCAGTCGTCTCACGCTCCTTGCAACGAGTGGACTATGCCATAGCATCCGCGTCGAGAGCGGCAGGCAGCGGCCGCCCAAGAACATGGGTAGGATGGAGGGGTATGCAGCCCGGCATTCGAGCGGTCGCGGCGCTAGAGACCACGTCCACTGTCCCCGTGTGCCTGTCAGTGCTCTCGGTGAATGCCAAAGCAGCTCGGCGAGTCGAGCATCGGGGTACTTTTGTGGTGTCCCGTTGAACAACATTGGCTCCGAACCACATCGGCTCCGAACCACATCGGCTCTAATAGTCATCGTCAATGATCACAGCCTGTTAAGCGGGCTGGTCCCCTTCAAACCCTCTTGTTGCCTCTGGCTACTGGGTATCCTTGCAGTGCCGCTCTTGGCTTCTTACAATCAGGCGTGTCTAGAACCTGAAAGCAGATTGTCCGTAACTTGCAAACATGACATTTACAACAAGTTAATAGCATGAACCCCTTGCCTAGCACCGATCTTAAAGAAACCAGGTCAGCTAGCGGTTCGCAGAGTTTTTTCCCTTTAGGCGCACTGAAGCCCCCCAGTCGAAAGATGTGAAGCGAACATGGGGGTCCACAACGCCTATGGGCCATGACCCTGAACCCCACGAGTTGTGTGTGATCGCTTGACCTCGAATGACCATCCGCGAACGGAATAGCGCAGAGTCGGCCGCCGGGTGGATCTTGAGGAGACGGGTAAGCGATGCAAGATCACCACTTGTTGCAACTTTGATTATTTCTCATTGCCTTGGTAGAAGCGAGCCGAGATGACAAGCGTTGAAACTACACTCAAGGGGACTCCCGACCGCAAGTCTGAAAGTTTGTCGGGGGTACTAGGCCAGGCATTGAGGCAGGGAAGGCGTTCGGCGGGCGGCCGCCCGGTAGTCCGGGGGTGTTCCGGCGTTGTCCGGGCGGGCAGAAGACATCTCCCGGACAGGTCACAAGCAGCATTTTCTTGTGAGACTACCTCTGAGAAAGGAAACCCACAATCTCTTGATCCGAAGCTGCTCATCTGGTTGGTCAATCACTAATTTCGTATACGTATAACCCGACAACGTGCTTACTATTACTCAACCGGCACATTCGATACGGATACGTAATCACGGGGGGCGGCTATGCGGCGGTGCTGGCGATGCGGTAACGCGGCGAAGCCACACCACTTACACCTGATTTTGCTCTCTACTATGGACCATGGAACATATGCGCGGGCGGGCGCGGCGTCCGCTTCTCACCCATCACCTGGCACCACTTTTCGGGTCCTGATTTGATCGCCAGGCTTAGCGTCATCCCCATCAACCACAGTTCAAATACCCCCCGGCTTTCGTATGCCCTAGTCTACCGTCATCGTGGGAGCCCGGCGGGCGGGCGGGCGTAGGGCAGGGCGCCGCTACGAACTATGGTCGTGGAGACTTGGCTCCGGGAGGAAAAGTATTCGTACAAGAGTACCTGTAGGGTAAGCGATTCGAGCGAGATAGAGAGGTACCAAGTTCACGAGAGGGTGTGCTCATGCCCACGCTGTAGAACTGACAAATATTCAGCCCTGGTTGACGTAGACTACCTACAGTGAGGCCAGCCCTGTGCTCTGCAGTGTGTGCTGTTTCGTTATCCCGCATCCTTCCTTGCGTGGTCCGGTATCCCGGGAACCTATCCTAGGACGGCGGAAGGGGAAAACCGTTGTGTAGGATTCTTGCGTCAAGACTACTCCCCTATTCCCCCTAATCGAGACATTGAAGCACATGGAACTTTGGTTTTCCTTCTGGTAACGTTCCTCCGGGTTTCCAAGCAGCGCGAGGATTCGATTCCTGCGTTCGGGGCTGGCGAATGGGACTGTTTCAAGTGCCGCGGGGCCCAACGAGTCTTGAATATCGTATGGCTCTAACCTTTCTCGCTCGCGCGGCTGTTTTCCAATGCAGTCGGTCAGATCGAGTGGGCATTGTGGGATTTTCGATGGGCCGTATGGTACTAACTGAGTTGGACTGAGGTGGTTTCGGGGCCGAATGGAGTTGACGACAAGATGACACGACTATCATGACGGAAGGCTACAATTTACCTGCGCGAAAGGAGAAAACGCCATATGCCGTCCTACTTTGATGTAATCCCTACACTCTCTTATGCAAGCCAGGTCGCAATTCTTCCTCTTTTGGTCAGATCGACGAACCGTCTCAAGCACCAGTATACCGGATGCCATCGAACGAGAACAGGCGCGCCATGTAAGAATACATGTAAGGTAGGTACCACGCATGCACGTATCTAAGAAAAAGCAGGTCAAGTGTAGTGTACACGAGCACTACATTTGGGCTTGCTTCAACCCCTTGTCTCGTCGTATCGACTTTACCACTCTCGTCAAAACAAAAGTCACCAGGGCTGCAGCGGGCCTTCCCATGTTCCCCTTCCCACCCCCTTCCCTTCCTGTTCGAGAATCGATCAGAAGTGAGTCCGAGAGCCCCGCCATGGGCGGGTCCGCCAGCGGGAAGGGGTGACGTCCGTCCATGGGGCCGGGATCACGGCGATGTCTCACTCTCGGGAGATGGGGTACGGGTAGCACTTTGCATGGGCGACATGACCGGGTTTCTAATCGTGACTAGGATATCGTCGAAGACGACAGGTTTTCTAGTACCCATGCTTCCCTCTCTTTCCTACCCAGGCTGCCAGATTAACTCGGCTCGGGAAGGGTAGGGGGCTCATCCTCATTACCCACGGACACGGACACGGGGAGGAGTGAACCCCCTTCCAGAAAATGGATCCTTTTTTTCACATTGTTTACTCAATCCGTACTGAGGTCTAGATACTTGCGGGACTGGCCACTAAACTAAGGTTGATGGGAAGGACTTTGAGTCGTCTTGGCCCATGCCATGAGGCTATTCAGACGTCAACGAGGGGTACATTCTCGCTCCACGGAGATATTCTGATCAGCAAAGGCCAAGAGCACTTTGCTTAATTCACCTGCCTAATGTACGGCGGGTATGATCAGAGGCTTAGAAGCTTAGGCTTCTGATTTTTTTGTTCTTTTTCGGAGCATGTGCAGCTTTATGCGAGAATGACGCCGCTCCCCCTCCCCGTCCCCCCGCGCGTGCGATGGGAAAAAGGGACTTTGATATTTTTTCGTTCCGACTTAAGCTTGTTTTCTTCTCTCGGTACCCCACGCACCGCTTATTTGCTCCCTTACAACTGCTATGTTTAGGCCCCCAACCAGCGCACAGCATTGATGGGTGCCTTTCATAGGGCTAGGGTACATGGGAAGGAGGTTGGTTGGTGATCAGGCAACGAGACATGCCTTTTTCGAGAAGCAGCCAAGCTTCTTTTTCTGACTGTAGGATTTGGGATCTTGACAAGCAGGTCTGCGGCAAAGCAATGATTGACGGCCAAGGTTCGCTGTTAAACGGCTGCATAGGTATCATCTCTTTGCTCTACCGAGGGGCTGGGCCCCGGATGTTCCCACTGTTGCGTAACCTCTAAATGCCGGGGGTCGCGGACTTTGGAGCGTGCTAAGGCCGTGGAGTTAAGAGGAGAGATTACTGAATAGTCCGCAGAGTTCATGTTTGGTTCGCTTGCGGAGACTTTGCGGAGAGTTGTTTTCCAGTCCATCGTTGTTGTTGCGATCCAGCCTCAATCCCATCGGCATATCCCGTGCTTGTGTATTGCCCCGGGGGCCGTCGGGATAGAGTCGATCGGCAAAGGAGTGTTCACCGACTAGAGATGGAGACTGTCAACCCCGAGAGGTCGGTGGTCTAGAGACTCCCACCATGGAGATGGACATGTTCCGCTTGTCGACTTTGCTCAATCATCGTTGCTCCGTCCCACCGCCTCCAGGCTTTATTTCAAACCTCGGGATTCAAGTGGCGTGAGGGATCCAGGCAACACCAAATCGTCTGGCTACGAGGCCCGCGATGCGGCCCACCTCCTCCTTCGCTTTCTTCCCGAATCCGCGGAGGAGGCTCTGTAGATGGGACCTTTGCTTCCGTGGCGTTTGAGCTTATTCTTTCCATGCAGTTGCGGGTGTGTCTGGACGCCATTGTCGTCTGTGTCTCACCATCCCACCCCTCTCGCCTGTCTTCCCCCGCTCTCGAGCGCGCGGGTCTCACGCGGTTGGCGTTTAATGGGATCGGGTGGCGGCTGATATGCTAGTTGGATATGGGTAGCAGGCAGCTTCTGAGACTTGGCGGGCGTGCCTGTGGGTGTGTTGCTAACATTTCTGGGTACAGGATTTCGGGACTCTGGTATGCAGTGGCCCCTGAGACTTCACACAGAGTATCGTTCTCGCCAATGAATGCAATCGATATAAGGAATTTCGAAAAAGCTTCATGATAGTGCGGATCTCGCTGAGTCTCATTGGACGTGTTAACGCGATTGAATCTGAGAGTGATATCCCTATGATATTTCCCAGACTGAAGACTGCGTTGAAATGGGAAGCCGTAGATCCAACTCCTCGTATCCATTCTTGAGACTCCTCCCTGGCTTCTTGGCTAGAGACCACTTGTGCGGAGAACAGCCAGTAGGTAGAACGCATTTCTGGAAAAGGGGTAGCGGTTAATTCTTACCCCTGAAGACTTGAGGGTCTGGGATCGTGGCGTGCCAGACTATCGAGGCAGCGAGATACTTTGCCCTGCTTCTTCGAACCACTTGGCAACACCAGTGGGACCTCCCCTACCCGCCGATATAATTCTGCTGCTTCGAGAGATCTACAGTCTCCTTTGCTTGTCTCTGCGCATGTGGAACATTGTGTCTCGTCACCGCGTTGGTAGAGTTCCGATTCGCTTCGCTGGGTAAAAGTTGCTGCCTGCGAGAGAGTGACTTCAGTGAAGGCGGCCTAGCGAAGGACGAGGAGGAGATCAGATACTTTGAGGGTACTCTTGTTTTCATCGCCGAGAATAGTTTGTCGCTTTTGTGTAAACCCGAAATATCTTTCGATTTAGATAGTCCGATGATTCGTGACAGGGGTTGTTGGTTGGTTGGTGTTGAAGATGGAAAGGTTATAGAGGGTTTTGGATCCATCTTCCAACAGGAGCTTCCAGAAGGAACCTTGGATTCGTTTAGGCAACCTTTATCAACTTATCTGGTAAGGAGTCGAGTTAGTCTTGCCACTTGGGAAGGCATTGATGGCAAGGGTCGTTCTGGATCGCGTTGTGTAAGAGCAAGAGCTGCTTGCATTGAGTACCTCAATTGTCAGACAAGTAGAAGCTGTAATTGAGCTGAATTTTTCTGGTCAGAATTGAACCTGTTTGATTGCCGCTCCTTCCCAAGCCCCCACCTCACCTTCCTGCCCTCCTACCCTGCTGCCCTCTCTCATCCGAAGAAGGCGAGGCTATCCTACTTAGGTCCCTCCAACGCAGTTCCTGTCACCAGCACAGCAGCGTCTGTCTAGGTCGGCGGGTCAGGTCAAGCTGTGTGCGAGGTGGTCGAGTAGTTATATAAACAAGTACTCCAATGAAGTCAGATTTCGGGTTGACTGAGGGGCGCGCTGTTCGAATCCGGGCAGGGGCGTGAGTTCTAGGTAAGTTACCCCCCTCCTTCTGTCCTTTCATTTTTTTGCTTGCTTCCGAGGTTTTTCGTATAATTAGCTTGATACTCGAATATCTTTTCCTTTTAAAAAGATGTCAAGATTCTATTTAGCTTTTGCTTCTATCTTGATTGAGGCCCTAAGTTGATGACTCGGCATATTGCAAGTGTTGCCTAGAAAAGACACCACACGCCTGGGAGAAACAGTAAGCTACTTGATTCAAGGATACGTGGGGAAAGATATTCCATGCTATCTGAGGCCTTCTCTAGAAGAAATATTTGGTGACCTTAGGACCGCTCATGTAAAGCCTGCCTCTCCTCGAGCAACAAGGAGCGAAACCATGTCCCTTCTTTCAACTCCCTCCTCAGACATCAACAAGAGAGCAAGGTTCCTTCTGGTCAAGGCTCACGTTTCTCCATGTCAAGGTGGTCAAAATTCTGGCCATCATAGAGTAGTCCACCGTTTTCCAAGTTTATCTTTCAGATCGTCTTGGGATCTCTGAAT